AAATCTGGGGGTCATAAGTATCCATATTATGAATAAATTTCACACCAGCATTAGATGTGTTGAGGGTTGGTCGTCGTCAGATGGTCCTCCAAAACTCATACATCACACTATTGGCAGGTGTGCATCTAAACTTCCGCTTTTCTCACTCTTAAGACTATTTTACACATTCATTCGCTCATCATTATTTTTAGATATTTTAATTCTTTTATATTTGTTTATCAAATTACATTATCTTTCTGTATGTGCATTCTTCCTTTTAAGTCCATGTTGTCTGCATCAATCACATTTGTTATTCCGGTTTTCGACCACATCACACAATTAACGGTTGAAAGGATCACATCCGTCAGCGGTAACAAAACGAACTGGAAACAAGGGATGCAGCAAGCCACATCAAGCCAATCACTGCAACGTCCTCCTTAAAGCGAAGTGAGATTATGAGAGTAGCGTGGCGAAATAGGTCTCGGCTAAAAACAGTGGTCGCCTTGTGACTCATCGTATGACTTCTTGTGATCGGATGAGCTGGACTGGCCATAAAATTTTATCATTTGTTTCTGTTATCTTGTTCCTCGTTTAATCGGCAACCAATCGGAACATTTATTTTCTGTGGATCTAGCCAATTCGCCTAACGCTCAGAGGAATATTTTCCACTGCCCTAGCCGAATTATAATATGTTTAGAAATATATAAATGTGACATACATTTTCCGCGTAAAGTGGTACCCTATAAGCCACAGACCAGTCTTTGTCCTTTGATAGTTACGTGGCTGAGTGAGGTGGAAGGCACTAAGGACGAATAGATGTATTTATTTTATCAGTTGAGTTGTCCAATGCATTAGTATTATTATGCCAAAGCATAAGTCCACTCGGTCACATGAACCGTCAACGAGATCACATAGATTGTCGACAGATCCGTAACAAATGGGCAACGAGTTCTTTTTAACTGACGATTTAGATCAGAACAAGCGATACACACTCCACATAAATTTACTGGTTGTCAAGAAAATTTCGTTTATAACGAATTGTCAGGCATAATCAAGTCAGTTTTGTTTGCACGAGCTCATGAAAACGACACTGTGTATTGGACCTACATCATTACATCAAACTAAGAAGGATAAAAATTGAATATTCTCTCCTGGTCCTCTCATATCCTAGCAATTTCTAAGAAAATATTCTGTCTTACCTTCTACATTAAGAAGTTAAAACATTCTTGTATAACCCAACCCTTACTCCTACAATTCGTCAATTCTCGCATTCTGCCTATTATTCTCTATTGTTTCCCCTTCGTTTTTCCCGGGCTACTGATGTAAGACTATAACATATTACACAGGATGTTAAAGATTGTCAGCAGAGTAAGCAACGTGCCACCTAGCCAGCTTGTTAATACTCTGGTCGACAGGCACATGGACTCATGTGAAAAATGGGCCAAATCCATTTTATCTAACTCACACCACCCTCTTCACTCACAACTCTCCCCTTGCATCTCATCAGGTAAAACCAGAAGCCTATATAGAAAACTATATGCTCGCACCAGCAAGTACAAAAACTCAACCATACCCTACCTAGCTCGTGTTCTGTGTGATAAAGAAAGCATTAGGTGTGATACCTATAACTTGTTAAATGGTCAGCAGAGCAATTGGATCTCGTCTTTCCAACTCATATCATTTATAGGTACAACCTTTTCTTTCTTTCTTTTCCTTTTCTCTCTCTTTTTTACTTTTTTCCGTTGTGTGCTGCTTTGCTTCTTTCTCTCGCTTACGCCAGTAAATATGACAGCTCCCACTTTTCTAACACCTTCAAACACTGTTCAGCTTTACCTTTGCTGCCGACATGCCAATGTGTTGTTGTAATAATGAACTGAGCTTTCCTTAATCTATGTAGAATTCTATTTATTGATAATGTACTAACTGGATGCAATACTGTAGTAAAAATGCTGAGAATTCCATTCTGTATCACAAGTACTGTTTTGGAATAAAGCAAATTATTATTATTAAAATAAACTCCCTCACATTTTTAGGCCAAAGGTTTTGGTTGTTCTGTGTAGATCCTGTAGCATAATTTATAAACTACAGTATGAATCTAGTATACGGTCCCTGCTAAAGCCCATTCTACCCGTTGTTTACCTTACCAGCACTGGGGGCTGGTGGCTTGATGAAGATATTTGTTTACAGTAAACAATATTCTAAATGATGGTGAACATTAAGTGGACGTTCAATGAACTTGATTACTCCAACCAGTTTCCTGTTCGTTGAAGGCAACAATTCTTGTCATGCCTTAGACGTTTGCACGTTGACGAAAGACAGGAGCAATATGATCAAAAGTATTGGTGTACATTATACTGACAAACAACTTAATTGATATAAACCACAAGACTGATGTCGTCAGGATCCAATATCCAGTATCAGTTTTACGAGCTAGTATAAACCAATTTGATTTCTTTCTTGATTGTGTGGTAGAGGTTCCTGATCTTCGGTAAGCAATCCACTGCCTCCAGGGAGGACCGAACTCCCAACCCCTGGTTTACGAGACCAGTGCTCTACCACTGAGCTATGAAGGATGGATAATATATAGCTGTTAGTCGTGAGGCTATAATTGATAGATTCATCGAAGTGATAGCCCCACTGGGCAGTTTTTGATTGATTTGTTTTAGGAAGACCTTCGAGGCCATACGAACAATCGGACATTCACTATTTATGGCGTAAATTTCTGTGTATGTGTAAACGATGAATATGCCCTGTATTCCGAGTGATAAAAGTTGTCGCAGTTAAATCTGTTTCTTCTGTCTAACTCAATGTGGGGAATATTTTCAGGTGATTATGATGTGGTGTCTGTAGGCTCATTCTAACACTGCTATGTCAGTAACACTACGTCATAACTGACATTAAATCGTCTTTCATAGTTTTTATAAATACAGTTAGGGGCGCTTACTGAAATAAATAAAGGCCATAGCTATTTCACACATGAATTGATTTCAAAAATGAGTAGTCAGACTGTTCGAAATTTATCGTACAAATACTTCGCATTTTTCAGATAAACTTCTCTTTCTAATAATACCATCCAGACTAATTAAATGACCTGAATGATTTATATTTAGCATTATACCAAGATTTCGGCTGCAATATTATAAGGTTTGGGTATAATATCCATATTATCAGGTAAAAGGTTAGATGTGCCAGAGCATGAGGAAAGAAGGTTTATGTAGTACCACGTCCGAAGCAACGCAAATGCTATTAAGAATCAATAACTTCAGCCAAAATGAAAATTCTTAGGAAGTTATTCGCCACTACATACCTCTTGCACTCAAATTTTGATATTGGCAATCCTGAAAAAAGGAATCATTCCGAGAAAGAACAAACTAGCCCAGCGAGAGTTACTGGGGAGTGTTTGGTTTGAACTCACTCTACCAATGGCGGTTATGGCAGCCAATTATTTTCAGTGGTCTTCACACAGTTGGTATGTCTTGTTACCAACAACACAGAAATGTAAGTGGTTATTAAGGAGCATACGAACGAACAAACTTCACCTGTTACACTGCCATCACCACTCACAAAACTACATAGATATTCCCACCGTCTAAAACGGAATGTTGTAAGTTCGTTAAATCCATATCACAGTCTAATTGATGCGTGATTTTCTCACCTGTATAACACTATTCGGTAACCGAACCATCCAACGTAATTCCGGTTACAACTAGTACTTTTGGTGGTGTTAATCAAGCTGAGTCTCCCATTTATACAATAGATATTTTGTTGAGCTTCACATGCTTTGGACTAAAACCTTTCTCACTAATAGAGGACGAATAACAAAAGAATCGTGTGTGCGCTGGTTGTGAACACTACCCAAAATTACTTACATCATTCTCCCCGATGTTGATAGATGAATTAAAATCTCCGAGCTGATACATGGCCATCTAATACATACGACTATTTGATTTTAAATGTATGACATTAGGATTCACCATAGGCTGAAAATCATAAAATATTTAAAGGTAAAGAATCCCTCAGTGCTGGGAGTTATTCACTATCTCTCTAAAATGGGAGCAGCCCTTAAGATATGCAGGTGTGAAATCTTCCTGGGAGTAAAGAAGCCCGACGGCTGCATATTTCGAAAGTCCACATGCATCTTTAACCAAAAGCTACAGCATCCATTTTTATCATCATATGCCGAGTGTAAGAAGTCACAGAAATATATATCGCACAGAAAAAATAGACACTTAAGTCGAATTGTAACACTAGAAGGCAAAACCCAGATGACAAGGTATTAACCAAGCAGCTATTTATATCTATGCAGTTTACATTCTTCAACCAATCACTGAGGGCGTGATTCTGGTTTACATTAAACGACATGAAATGGAATGCTCAAATACATATAACATTCTGTTGCTATCACAGTATTGAAATGTGAGAATACGTGAGAATAATATTCCGTTGGAACACACTGTCTGTATCACGCCACCAAAATGGCCTTGAATCAACCAATAAGATGGCTTGGCATTACACATGGATTTTGTTCATAATCTTCGTCTCAAGTCTCACCCAGATTTCTTAATACCAGTAATACGACACCTAGTCCTCATACGCACTACCATTCATACACTCGAGTGGAAAGGTTATTCACTGCTGCTATCATCAGACGATATTTACCATAAAGTCAATCATACTTCTGAATTAGTAGATCCCATAATTGGAACTCATACAAATTCTTTTGAAGGATTCTGGGTTCATCTAAAAACGTATTATCAAAGTAAATGGTTCCCGATATGATATAGAGCCACTTAGATTTTTTGCATAAACACTAGAGATATATACCCTGTGTAATTCATTTTTATTACAATGTGTCTTATAAACATACTTATTTTAAAATAAATGCCTTGAATAATATAATTGGTAGATTCGATGTCATCTAACTTTAGTGTCTATTCTTAGCTGTTGCCTCATACATCACTTCTCCTAGTGAGTTAAATCTTGTTTTGTTCTGTCTCGACACCAAGGCTTTGATTCCTTTGATATATGACCCTGAAGTGAGCGGGTTGGTTGACCTTGTTCGCATCATGGATCCTGCAGGTTAGTTTTCCCTGTTTTAGTGAAGTTTCTGCAGTTATTTCCGCTCTTCATTGTCTCGAAAGTGACCACCAAGAGCAGCTTGATTTTGAAGATGAAAACTTACCCCTGAACTCCTATGGCTTAGAAGTATTTTCTATCTTTATCTGGTTAATAATTTAATAAGTTGTCCTCCGCAAAACTCAATAAGAGAGATTATGAGGAAGGTGCAGCATCTTCCACAAGTGGTGAAAGTTCTGGATCAAGTGAATTTGATGAGGGTGAAATGAAAAGCAGTGATGAATCTGAATTCAGCAAAGATGAGGATAGCTCCGAAGAAGGGGAAGTGCAGTCGGAAATCGACGAGGTAAATATTTTTAGTCTCAGCAGTTTTGTGTATATTTCCTTGTCATATACAATTATTGTCCCTGGCTTTCTATTCAACTTTGTATTTGTAGCTTGGGAATGTGAGTAATCCCTCAGCTCTAGTTTTCGTAGTTGTAGTCAGGACGTGTATGCAATGCAGAAAGATTTATTAGTGGCTATTAACTTTGTGTCCATAAAAGCTGGAAATTGGTTATACCGTTAGCTCCAGGAGTTCAACTTTAAAATTTCATTCATACTAGTATGTCCAAATACATTGTCAGTAGTGAAAAGCATCAGAAACGTTTAGGTAGTCATTTAACCCAAAGGTTAGATAAGACAATGGGGCTGTGCTCATAGTTTTGAGTTATTTCCGAATTTCATTACCTAACGCTTGCTGTTAATATTTTCATCCCATTTCCTTTGTCTGCTTACTCTACGTCGATTGCTAACGAAATATGCCAATGAACATTTCTTGTCTCCCGAAACAAATTCCTCCGATTCAGTCTGAAAATAATAACATTGAAGCCTTGCAATGAGCTGAAAAAATGTGTCTTATTAGCAAGGTTTTTTGTATATCAGGTCATGGATGTATGTTATATCTCTGAAAGATATACAAGCCCGAATCATATATATTCCCGTTTTAGTGGATTTACGGAATGTCTGGATGGCTAGTATACTAAATGATGTGGGAATCGCACTAAGCATGACTGGATATCACTTGGCTTTCGTTTCTACGCTTTCGCACTAATATGCTTTCAGACAATTTGATAGATCGTGCACTGCATTTGTAAATAAATGGCCGGTATAAAGGTTATTATCGATACACTTGTGTCCAAATTTTTCATGAAGGTGTTATGTCTGTGTCACACAAAGGCTTCATCGAACATCTATGTATATACCATAATGTTGTTTCTCCCAAGGAAGGTATATCCGGTCTTGTTTAAAAACAGATGAGGACATCTGACAAGTTGCTGCTTCATGGTAGTAGAATGTATTAGGTTCCTGCAGCTTCATTCAGGGTGATCCTCTCATTACAGTGAAATCCATTTTGATAACATATTAGACATCGCCCTCTACGTTGTGCTATGTTAGCTGATGTTGGGGATTAGTTCCGAGGAGAGTTTGCGGTGGCCTAATCCAAACATGGCATTAATCTACAAAGTCAGGTTCTCATTATTCTCCTCATTGTTATTCTTTATCGCGTACACCTTTCGGGTTTCTCTCTAATTTCTTTTTATATCGAGTATTGCAACTTGAAATGCTGCAATTCTATGCTAGTTCTTCGTTGAGTCTATCACCAGGTTTTTCGTCTTGACAAAGACTGAAGATAGTTGGGAAAAACCGACATGACAGAACTCGATAAGTTTTGCATCCAGAAGAGTTTATACTGATAAAGTCTTACCCTTTGACATGTTCTAGAGCTCTAGCATGTTTATTGGTTTTTGATTCTTATGGTATTTCTTGGCCTGGAGGTGGCATTTGAGTCTTTCGATCGAAGGTTACTATGGTAGTGCTGTAAGGAAGTGTCTTATGCTAATCGAGGTATTCTACTCTAACTCATGTCATTGTATAAGAACTTGTGGGGAGTTTTTGTCCAAAGTGACAACAATTACTGGTGTGTTGTACATGTCCCTTGTCAAAATTCTGGTGAATTTGTCTATAGATTTACTTACGGAGGTGACTTCGTGCAATTTCCACTTCAGCTAGTATTACAGTCTTTGAACACAGTGACGTTGAAGCAGAGTATATTAAGCATTTATTGCACTACTGTGAAGTGTAAGATAGTACCACAAATTAATCCGCATAGGCTCCTAAGTTGTAAGAAAGTAGTAAAGTGGTCGGATGTGTGTGTGTGTGTGTGTAGGTGGCTTTACTTATTTGTAAATCTGCACCACTCCTAGTGAACTGGTTACTGATAATATCTCAGGACGGATACAGAAAGCTCATTGGGCAACTACCAGTTTGCACAGTCTTTTTCGTAGGCATAAAATCATTCATGTTTCTTTGTTATTGTTCTTTCTTCCTTTCATTTCTGCTAATTATAGTTATTTTGATAGTTTCTCTCCTCTGTGTACGGGAAATTGAATAGCTGCACTTCTGTGCTAAGTCCCACATTGAAACTCAGTCAGTACCAGGTCACTCACTAAAGGCTGAGTAACTGACTGAGTTTTCAACGTGTAAGTTAGCACATAAGTGCGACAGTCCAGACTCCTTGATGGATTGATTCCAGGTCGTGACTGGACCACCCCTTATTCTTCTCCAACCCAACCCTATGGCAGCTAAAATTACTCATATAGGAAGGCGATAGTTTAGCGTGCTTAACCCCTATCCTACATGTCTCGATCGACTTAGCTCCACAATCCCATCGATTCACATACCCTCCTTACCTAACACTACGCGTAACCTTAATATTACTCACCATATTATACCACTTCATACAGGAGATAAAATTCGTCTGTGGTCAGAAAAAACTATCTTCTACTCTCAGTGACTAAGTTTAATAGCCGTAAAGCGAGAGGAAGTGAGCTACTGCGCTGTACACGTCGTTTGATCGATAGCCGGATATCACGTCTGCGTCAGAGATGACGTAAATTGGCAAATTCCGCACGAGCCTTTTGTATCCGGGTTGAGATTTTGGGAACAATCATTCGGTTGAGGATGTTGTAACTTCCCAAATCAGCAAAGTGATCAACATGCTCAAACACTTCACTCCCTGTCTTTACACTAGGAGTCAGTGAATATAAGTCCTGCACCATCATTGCATGCCAGAAACTATAACTCCTGCACAAGGTTTTCCTCGGTAACAACTTAATCTCTAAGTTGCTACAGTCGGTTAGGGTCACATCCGTAAGCACTTGTATGATAAAGTTAAACAGCAGTGGAAATGTTGGGTATTCCTGATGGACATCGCTTCAAATAGAAACTCTGTGGGCTGTTGCACGGCTGCACCACATAGAGTACAATGCCTCGACTAGTGGAATAAACTTTCTCAGCGCTTCACAAACTGGGACTACCATAATACCTCTTGGACGACGGCGTCAAATGCTGCCCTCAGGTCACGGATATGGCGTGTGTTGGACACACCGGAAGCATGCTTTTGTATGAGAGTTTGCGATGTGGTTAATACATCCCCATCCCGACCTAGAGCCTACTTAATTTTTACTCATGATTATTGAACGTAAGACTCTAGGTGCTATGTTAGTCAAGCTGTTTTACTATAGAAAGACTCATGTTCCTCCTTGTAAGCTGGGATAATCAGTTATTATACATCAGTCCACAGGACTATGTTGCATTTCAAGACATCGTGTAACATCTTAGTTAACTCAATAGTTCGCCACCATTTTTAAATAACTGTATAGTCATTCCACCATGTCTGGCTGCTTAGCCTCTCCTCAGACAAAAAACAGCGAAATCAACAATATGATGGTTTTAACAGACTGTCGGTCATTACTAATGATCTCAGAGTTAAGAGAAGGTGAAGGGCCTACTTGTGGAATCGTATTAACACTAGGAATAAAGCAAAAAAATGAAGGTGGATAATGATCAAGAAAGCTTTGTGTGCTCTTACCTCAGCGGAGAGGTAACAGCTGGTTTTCTGGTCGTCCGGGGTCAACACCTTACTGGCCTCATGACTTTGCCCTCAGAGCCCCAACATATTTTGATTGACTTAGTCTGTGGTGGTAACTGCTTTTAGTCTGGTCGCTATCAGAATGACTTTTATTGTATGGTAGAAACTGCATCAACGTTACAGTCAATGTAGTTCATTGTATCATTGGGACATGCAAGCCCGACTACTGTGTCAGGGTAGCAGGTACCAGTCAAGAACATTAAAGACAGTGTTTATTGCACTTTAGCTGCTCTATTCAACATTAAAAATGTGATGTACGGCCTTTGCATCTAGAAATGAAAAGATAGTGTCGTTTCTGGACTCTCATCTTCATGTAGAAGATTGGATGTGCAATGTTTTAATGGTTGGTTAGCAAGTCAACATGGGACTTTGTATAGATGTATATCAGTTCATGTTGTTACATCTCAGGGAAGCACTCATTGGATAAGGGAACAGAGATTTAGTGGTGTCATAATGAAGAAAAGTATATTTGTGTGGATGAAGTAAATTAATAAATAACATTGAAGGTGCTCAGAATTCCAGTAACTAACACGGTATACATATATATGCTACTATGATTGCTTTCTAGCTTTCTGACTGCCAGTCTACAACAACTGATTCGTAGCAATAGGCGCTGTTACTCTAATCTTACGTAATAAATAAAGATTAATGCATCTGAACCACTCACAGTTGCATATACAATAAATACACTGTTTTATGTTCGATGTAGGAAAAAGTTTTTGACGTATACTTTGAAAATTTTACTGTCAAAATCGTGTGTTTTAGTTTCTATTGAGTTTTTTTCCTTCACGTTCCCCAGTGGAACATAAGGCTTCAAGCTAGTGGCTTGAAGTTTCTGTAGCAGTGTTTATTTTACAGGATGGGGTTGCTAGCCTCATGCCCAACCTTTCCTCTTTACCAGCATTATTTCTGGCTTAGCGAGGTAAAGGAGTGCGTCGGCTGGAGATCGAACCCCGGACCATGTGCATAGTCGGTGAGCGTCCTAACCGCTATGCCACCGACGCACTAGTTTCTATTGAGTGCATAACAATAATTTAACTTGACAATCCGTAAAGATTAGCTGTGAACCATACTTATCAGGTAGAGGTTCATAATGGTGCTTGACTGCTGAGGCCGATGTCGGTTTAGTCGAGTTGTACCTCATGACCCGTTTGTCGACACCTGAGCTGATGAACCCCATCTTAATTTTTTTACTGTTAAGTACCTCTGAGCTCTCTGGTGTCTAGTAGTAGTAGCTTCTTGCGAAATTTATTCATCATTATTGTTGGAGTGGGATAAGTGCAACCTCCAACACCTGAGTTCATTACCATACACTGTTAAAAGTGTCACACTGACCGTGTAAGACATTATTAATATTCTCTTGGGTTCTGAGTGGAACATATGGCTTCGCCAACATGTCTTCGTTTCATCCTATTCCCCGCTATCCTTTCCATCTGGCTCCAAGATTGTCCGTAAGTTTTCATTTCTTCATACGGTTTCCTCCATGTCACCCTCGTGCGCCCTTCTGGGTTCCACTTCAAGGCCTCGCTGGTGCGTGATGTCTAGCAGGCTTCTCAGGTAATTTCCAATCCATCGTCATTTCCTTCTTCTTATTACTTGATAGGTAATAAGTGTTTGGTTGGTTCATCACCAGAATTCCGTGCTGCTTATCCCTTCTAGTCGGTCATGTGATCTTCACTATGTAGCGAAGATAGGGGAAGGGGCAAGTATTGATAAAAGACTGTATCAGTCTGTTTGAAATGCCTTTCGTGGCGTGCCAAGTCTCTGAACCATCTAGATGCAATGACTAACTCACACATTAATGTTGAAAATTCAAACTTTGCTTCTTATTCTGAGTGTAGTAAACTTTTATTATTGATTTCAAAATGATAACAGTATGCCTTACTTACTCGATCCTGGCTATCTTTGACATTATCATTGCATACCACTTGTGTATACGACGTAGTAGCACTGTTTGTCCATTCATATTGTAGTAGGTGTAGCAGGTTTTGAACCCATGACCTGTTGACTGGGGTTTATGCATCTAGAGTCTGTTTATTATACATATTATTAGTGCATTAAGTGGACGTTTCCTCTTTTCAGAAAATATCTTCCTCAACTTAGAATACAGTTAAACTCTTGTCAAAGTTATCTGTAAACAAGATGCATATTCTTGAAGTCTAGATTGAACACATTAAAGTTCCCGTTCCAAACACTGCAGCAATTCACTTCCAAGCCCCACAATATTACGTCACTAAAAAGGCTGACTGACTGTTTATTCAACGTGTATAGCTTAGCATATAAGTACAGCAGTCCAGATTGCTTCAGGGATTGATACCATATCTTTATTGAAACATTCTTAACTCCTTTCCAAATTCTGCCTATATTAGCTGACATTAGTCAATTAATGGAGAAAAATAGTTGTGGGTAGTGTGTTCTCCACCTGTGTCGTTCTTTTTGTTCATTTTAATAGTTTTTTCCCTCCTCTAGTCTCTGTTTTTCCTTGTGAAATTCAGATTTCAAGGGTTTAAAATTGGACTCGTCTACTTAAATATTCTATTTCTTTCTGCCTGTGTTTAGTGGCAGGATATGATGTTGCCTTTCAGTCTAATATTTCTAGACTCACTATGCCTATTTGCATTAAAAAACAAAACTAAACTAAACAGTTTTGTATTATTTCCGCTTTTCCATCGATTTTAAATATTTTTCTTACCGTTTTACAGATCGAAGTAACATTGGATACCGTGGTGAAAAAAAACGAAACACCATGGGAACGTGGTCTTCGCTTAGCACGAGAGGTAAGCACAGTACCTTTTTTCTCTCTCTCTCTCCCTCTATGGAGAGTAAAACACCACACCTCTCTGATGGTATATTTACTTTATTTAATTTGATTAGGGCCTGGTTGAAATCTATAGATATATACTAGGTATTTGACAATTGTGTTGTAATTAAAATAATTGGCAAAGTTAAACTTTAAGCACCACTAACTACCAATCAAACCTCGCCTAGATTACTAGGTCACTAGTATTCTAGCCGGTCCCAAGCCCGGATAAAGAGGGGAGGGTTGGGGCGTGGTGCTAGCAACTCCACCCCCAAAACTTAACCAAATTGCTACTAAAACTTCAACGCACAAATATATTCAAAATTCTAAAATTACAAATAGTGACCTTATTTCTCGCTGGAATCGGGGAAGTGAAATGACGCGGGCTGGTGAAAGCCTTCGGGAAGCCAGTCAGCCGATGTGCCTTCTTTCGATGAAAGCGAAAATAAGGATGGGGACGTAGAATGTTCGTACAATGTACGAAGCTGGGAAGGCTGCTCAGGTAGCCGCAGAAATGAGGAGATATAAAATAGAAGTGTTGGGAATCTGCGAGAGCAGATGGAACGGATGTGGAAGGAGCCAACTATCAACTGGAGAGACAATAATCTACTCCGGTCACCCAGAGGACAATCACGAGCACACCGAGGGAGTAGCCATCATGATGTCACCAACAGCGGCTAAAGCTCTCATGCAGTGGGAACCAATCTCCTCCAGGATAATGACAGCCAGGTTCAACTCAAAAGGAAAGAAGGTTACAATCATTCAGTGCTACGCGCCTACAAACGCCTCAGAACATGAGAAGAAGGAGGATTTCTACAGTCAACTACAAACAGTAATGGACAACGTCCCAAAGAGCGATATCAAAATCCTGATGGGCGACATGAATGCGAAACTGGGAGGAGACAATACAGGAAGAGAACTCACCATGGGTCGTGAGGCCCTCGGTGAAATGAACGAAAATGGCGAACTCTTCTCAGACTTCTGCGCCTTCAATGATTTGGTGATTGGTGGCAGTGTGTTCAAACACAGGGATATACACAAGGCAACATGGATTTCACCAGATGGACACACCAAAAACCAGATAGACTTCATTTCAATCTCAAGGAAGTGGAGACGGAGCCTACTGGACACAAGATCGAGGAGAGGAGCAGATGTGGGTTCAGACCACTATCTAGTACAAGGGACTTTCAAGGTGAAGCTGAAAGCCTCGAGGATAGCTGGGGATAGGCCACAATGCAAGTTCAACACGCAAAAACTGAAGGACACAATCACACAGGACATTTTCACTGCAACTGTCAGAGCGAAGCAGGAAACACTGCGTGGTACCACTGAGGAATCATCCATCGAAGACCATTGGAACTCTCTGAAGGTAATTTTCAACGAAACGTGTTCAACGGTTTTAGGAAGAAAGAAGAAACAAGACAAGGAATGGCTCTCAACGGACACTTGGAAACTAATAGAGGAGAGGAGAAAGGTGAAAGAAAAAATGATTCAATGCAAAGATGGACAAGAGAAAGAGACGCTGAACTCAACTTACACAGCACTGGACAAAGAAGTGAAGAAGAGTGCCAGGAAGGACAAAAGACAATTCTACGACAACCTGGCTACTGAAGCTGAGAAGGCAGCAGGCAAAAGGGACCTGAGGACACTATATCAGATAACCAAGTCTCTATCCGGGAAGAGATCAACACAAGTGAAACCTATAAAAGACAGCCAAGGGAACCCAATTACCAAAGAAGAAAGACAGATTAAACAATGGGCGGACCACTTCAAAGGACTCTTGAACCGACCACCACCTACAACCCTTCCAGAAATACCAACAACAGCACGTACACAACTGCAAGTTGACACCAATCCTCCAACGAAAACTGAAGTCATGAATGCAATCAAGCTTCTGAAAGCTGGAAAAGCAGCTGGACCAGATGGAATACCCCCTGAAGCACTGAAAGCGGACCCAGAAACGACGGCAGATATGCTGACTCCATTATTGCAAAAGATCTGGAAGGAGGGAAAGGTGCCTACTGACTGGAGGAGAGGTTACCTGGAGAAACTACCAAAGAAGGGCGACCTGGGACTCTGCAAGAACTGGCGAGGAATCATGCTCCTGTCGACGCCAAGTAAAATCCTGAGTCGCATCATCCTGGAGAGGATAAAGGACGCACTGGATACAGAACTCCGACCAGAACAAGCTGGATTCAGGAAAGGCAAATCATGTTCTGACCAAATTGCAACTCTACGCATCATCATCAAACAAAGCATGGAATGGCAATCAAACCTCTACCTCAACTTTATAGGCTTTGAGAAGGTTATCGACAGCGTTGACCGCGAAGTAATTTGGAAACTACTCGAGTACTACGGCGTACCCCAAATATTCATCAATCTTATTCAACAGCTGTACGACAACGGCACATGCCAAGTGATCCACAACGGAAAACTCAGCGAGGCGTTTGGAGTAAACACAGGAGTCAGACAAGGGTGCTTATTATCACCAATGATATTCCTAATTGTGGTGGACTGGATTATGCGTCAGACAGTGGGAAACGAGAAGACAGGGATATCCTGGCCCGACGTGAAGAACCTAGAAGACCTGGATTTCGCGCGTGGATGATTTATGTTTGATGTCACACAAAATCGAAGACTTACAAGCGAAAACCGACAAACTGGTCGAAGAAGCAGCAAAGACAGGACTCCAGGTAAACATAGACAAGACGGAGGTCATGAAAATAACCAACGAACAACAGCAGCAACATCCAGTGCCAATCACCATCAACGGGAGGGATTTGAAAGAAGTTACTTCTTTCACTTATCTAGGGAGCATTGTCTCAACCACAGGAGGAACGGATGAGGATGTCAAATCGAGAATCGGGAAGGCGAGAAACACATTCATCAACCTGAAACCAATCTGGAAATCTTCCGCTGTCACTCAGCATCAACAACAAAATTCGGATTTTCAATACAAACGTCAAGTCAATTTTGCTTTACGGATCAGAAACTTGGCGGGTCACCAAGAATATTTTCAAAAGGTTGCAGACCTTTATCAACAACTGTCTTCGCTCCATACTGAAGATTAGATGGCCGGAAAGAATCACCAACAAGAAGCTATGGGAACAAACGAAACAGGAACCAATCGCCCAACAAATATGCAAGAGAAAGTGGAGATGGATTGGACACTCGCTGAGCTGGGGAGGCCGCTGGGTGACATCGTGCGTCAGGCCATAGCTCGAGTGGAACCCGAAAGGGAAGCGGCGAGTGGGACGTCGAAGGGTGACATGGAGGAGATCGTGTGAGGAGGAGATGAAACAGTATGGAATAACATGGACGCAAGTGAAAAGTACAGCAGAAGACAGAAGCAAGTGGAGACGTGCAGTTGAAGCCCTATGTTCCACTAGGAACCCAAGGGAACGATAATAATAACTACCAATCAGCGAATGACTTTCAACGGACCATTCACATAAAAGAGGGATTTTGGATAAAGGAAAACGTATATTTATGGAAGAAAAAGTATAAAAACAGCATAAAACTGTTACATAGGGTATCTTTCTCTAACATATAACAGGAACATCTCCCAATTTAGCATAGGAGTGTCAATAGAAAAGTCACTCCACATTCTGTACAAATATTCATCCAAATGACAATAAATGACATCCTTTTGAGATCCATATATAGCCCTAGTCATACTTTTTAATCTTCCCCAAAATCCTTCAATAGAATTCTTGTGTGTCCCTGTAATAGGATCTACAAAGTCACTAGAATGGTTCACTCTGTGATGAATATATCCAAGGGAGGACAGCGAGTTATAACCTTTCCATTCATCAGTATGTACTATGGATCCCTGTTTCACCAGTCGAGTACCAATAGGTACTAAGGTAGTAGACTTTCTGTCTGGTATTCTCTCTACGAATCCTGTCCGTAGGGAGGTGTCATATAAACAAATCACCCAAACATTGTTAGCTCGCTCACGACCACGGTTGTATTTTTTCTTCAGTAACACAGTTTCATCCACGTGCACGATGATGCCTTCTCCGCCCCAAAACGAAGTAATTCTTTCCATTTTCAATGATGCGATATCTCTGCAGTGCTGATACCACTGAACTGTTGACATGAGGCTATTTCCAGTTTCAGCAGCTACGCCTCTCACAGGCTGTTTTAAAACTCAGTAGTTACAAATATACAAAATCTGGGTTAGGGAGAGATGCGACTTAGCAAAAAATGTTCCTACGAAATATTAAAATTATCAGCTTACCTTCTCTAATACTAACCCGTCTCAAACAAATTGCACAACGACCGGACATATCCATCAATCGACCTGCTAAAACTTTTTAAACCCCTTGACACCACCACATGAACAAATCCTCTCCTTCCTAAGCCACCCCAAATCCAGAAAATACTGCAAAATCTTATCCTCCTCGAATTGCAGGCGTAAGTTCGTTAGTGCACGCATTTGAAACGAATCATGCGCTGTACAACCTTTGAACTCACGTGCATGAATCTCATTGGACTATTCGAGGTTGTTCGCTGATTGGTAGTTAGTGGTGCTTAAAGTTTAACTTGGCTAAATAATTAGTGGGTATTCTAATTGAATCATTTCAACTATTTCACTAATATACATCATAATAATGGTCATTTGTTTAGGTGAATTTTGTATTTCCTTTTGATCGAAATGTCCTATCTCTATTGACATATCGGCTCGCAGTGCGGATACTTTGATGATGTCTAAGAATCATTTTAATATGTTGCTGATTGGTGATAGATGGTGGTGACTAGAGCAGTAGAATCCAGAAGGAGCATTTAATCGTATTCGGTACTCTTCATCCGGATGTATTTGCAATTGCTCATCGAGATTCAATCCCAGCACCAATCGTTTCAATCGCACAAGCGTTATCCACTAGGTTACTTGGTGGCTATGAGAGCTGCCTCTTGTGCAGCGGGTGTCAGTTATCTGTTAATTCTGTACTTCCCATTGGCTAATAATACTTCACTGTTAGTTATCGTCCTCCACATAACATAGTATGTTCACGTGGTTGAGAACTAAACAAGATACATTTTACTGTAGAGAATTCGAATACACGATAGTCAGTACTATAATACTACAAGTGTGATATGACTCCCTGGATTATGCACCTAATTTCCAATCACTAGGTCACAGATTTGAACGCTTCGCTTTGCAGGCGATTGTGCCAACGTTTCTGTTGTGCATTAGTTCCCTGAAATAGCGCTTCAAACTTCTGAAAAGTTGTGACATGATAAAAATATATGCAAGTATTGGTTTTGTAGGGATTTTGTTTGATTGCATGGAGAATTTCATCATGAGCTGACATCAGTTAGAGAACCACTGGAAAACCAGGCAGGGAATACTGGACAGTAGGGTACAGCAGGTCGAAGATGAGGCAGTAACTCATCGAAGAAGACATTGCGAAATGGTCGCGCTATGTCGTGAATTGGCAGAAGTTAGAATTGAAGAACCATTGGATCGGGTCCCAGTGGCTCAGTAGTCTACGAGCTTGTCTTGTAACCAGAAGGTCCCGGATTCGAACCCCAGCGGGGTGAGTGCGTACTGATGAAGAGTCCCCAACTAGGACGAAACAGCTGTCCAGTACTCCCAGTTGGTTTTCCAGTGGTTCTCTAACTGATGTCAGCTCATGCTGAAATCCTCCATGAAAAATATATGCCACCTAATGACAATGTGAATGCTTATGAGAAACCTGTCTGCCCACAAAGCGTCTCTTGCCTTTCTATTTTGGGAATTCATCCGTCTTTTAATTGCCACATTAATCTAACTACTATTTAATTCAATTTGAACTTTTTTGTTGATTACTTGGACCGAAGTACTCGACGCTACGTTGACATGTCACCTCCTCGTGTCTGTATGCTTCAACGATTTCTGAGGATTTAACTTGAAGGTAAATCCAGTTGACGAGCCCCAAAATAGGATGAAGTGCACATCCTGCCCACCAAATCACTCTAACTGCTATTTCTTTACAAAGTAAACATGACGTATTTGCCATCGACAGTGCGTCGGTGGCATAACGGTTAGGACGCTCGCCGACCATGCACATGGTCCGGGGTTCGATCCTTGGCCGGCGCACTCCTTTACCTCGCTAAGCCAGAAACAATTCTGGCGAAGAGGAAAGGTTGGGCATGAGGCTAGCAACCCCATCCTGTAAAATAAACACTGCTACAGAAACTTCAAGCCACTAGCTTGAAGCCCTATTTTCCACTGGGGAACGTGAAGGAATAAAAAAAAATTTGCCATCGACTGGAAAAAATTTCAGCCGTAAATTGAATAGTTGCGAAATTAAACTATCATAGCCAAAGTCTGTAGACATTTGACCTTGAGAAGCCAATCGGATTTAGAGAACACTGTGAAAGGTTATTCCAAGTTAAATCTTGTCTACCTTCATGGATTTCGCGAGGGTAGGTACACAGTATCCACCTTATTCCATAGGCACTTTTCTACATAAATCGACACTGTCAGGTAGGTTTATTACTGTTATTTGGGTGCAGGTTAGGATTAGGTTTACGGGTAGGATTAGAGTTCCGGTTAGGCTAAAGAATAGCTTAGGGAATATCAATGGATCCCGAAGGATCATAATCTACAGTCACCTCGATGAATACATCCATCGCGCATGGTGTGACTTCACTATGGATGATATTATCCTTAGAGTAACTGGGAGACATTCTTACAACACATAAGAGACAATTAGTTATACACTGTATTATCATGTTTATAATATGGCTTAGCACATTTATCTAACGACTATGCGACTTAGTTGCACCTGAATTCTGATTGGTTGTTCCAGGTCAATGTGGGTTTGGCTATATAATAGTTTAACTTCACCCAAATAGTTTCTGATTGGAGTTTGGCTTGTCAGTGTTGACGATGTTACTAACTAACATTGACAAGTATTGTATATTTAATATTTCTACGCAGATGTTACTGAAAACATTTATTTCCCCATACGAATGTAAAACAAACAATAAAGGTTAATAAAGCAGGATTTAATGAATTCATCAAGTTCCGGTAGAACTCGTCAGCTGAATACTTTACATACACGGATATATATATATATACTTTTGAAATTACATTGGGAGATATAAGACTGATAAGCAAATAAACCACATTAAATTAGTCACGCAGAAAGACAGGTGCGAATGTTTTCCAGGTTCCATGTTCAAATAAATAAGGGGAGAGAGAGTATGAGAGATCAAAATTAAGATAAATTGCATTACGCTCCAATTACATCACTTAGATAAACAATCAGTCATTAGAGAATATATCAAGAATTGCAAACAGCGTAATATCAGTAGCAATAGTTATAATAATAATAGTGTTGAAGTGAATTAAGATAATCCCACTGATGAAGGATAGTTTTAAGTGAATCAAGAATAATAATGATAATAATAAGAGGTAGAATAAAGTGTTGTTAATATTAATAATAACAGTTAATAAGTAAAACGTATCACCACGGTAGATTCAGAGTGACGACCATCTCCTTTTGTACACGGAGACCTGGTTTATAAACTCGAATTGCACAAGCCTCCTCTGCAATTGCAAGCATCTTCCTGTTTCTTTGTCTACTGACAATAACAGTGAATGACTTGACAGCGTCGATATGTAGTTTATTTGCTTATCAGTCTTATATCTCCCAAAGTAATTTTAATTGTATATATATATCCCCATAGATATTACCGCTTTTCACTTGCATTCGATCATTGTTTTTTCGCTGGACTTCCTTATCTAGAATCATAAGTTATGTGTTTCGGATTAGTTAGTTAGCGTTAGTCATTAGTAACGCTGAATTAGATTCTTAGTTTGCGAATTAATCGAATATTTGTAAATCATGCAGTTCGAGGTTAGACGCTTCACCGGTTTCATTTTGAAATTATTTAGGTCACAACACGTGATCTAATTTATGGCATAAATACCACTCAAGAAGGTAAGCTTGAACGCATGATACTATAAACTAATGACTGATTGATTGATCGATTGGTTGATTGATTGATATGAATAACTGGATGCCACTCACACCAATCAGTAGTGCTTACTGACCACCCAGATGGCCGGATGGCCGATTCGTTCGTTTGCGGCTGAGCTTATCAGTGATGTGTGTACCAGCTTTGGCTTAAATCACAGAAAGGTGAGTCAGTTCAAACCACCCCCCGGGCGAATTCTTAATATTATTGAATCGAATTTGCAACAGTTTGGATGCTTCAAACTTACTTGGCTTTCTGAGCTGAGTCAAACGGGATACACACACACCACTGATGACCTTGACGCCGAACGGGCGAAGCGGTTATCTATTGTTTAGAGGCCTCAAGGTTCTGGCTAGCAGGCACTACAGGTTGATGTAGTCACTAGGATGTAGCATCATTATTAACTTTCCGTGTATGCCTTTCGTCCTCAGATATATTCTGTGAACTGTACTTAATGTGTGTGTGGTGGTTTGTGATACTAGTCATTTGTCACACAAGCTGATTTAGACTGAGTAGGATTCGTACTTGGGACCCATCGGCCGGAAGTCGAGTATGCAAACTTCCTGTCTACAGTCCCTTGCAGGCGTCAATTATCTGCTTGATTTTAATTAATTCACTTCCATCTCTCAGTTTTCCCACACATTTGTTTCATTGTACAGTTGTTTTTTTTCAAGCGTGTTGGTTTGTTTATAAGGATACGATGGGTTACAGGTCTGATCACAAGTTGATATCAGTTACGGAAACATTATAGACTAGGGAGTATTGGGAGTGCAGTCAGCTGTTTCGTTCTAGTTTGGGACACCTCATCAGTACACACTCACCAGAGTTCGAAACCTGGGGTTGGATTGGGTCTCAGTGTCTGGATGGCCTACGAGGCTGCCTTGTAACAGGAAGATCCTGGGTTCGAGCCCCGATAGGTATATACTGATGAAGTGTCCCAAACTAGGCAGAAACATGCACTGTCCAGTACTTTTTGGTTTTCCATTGGTTCTCTAATACGCCTAGTTCTTTTCTCATCTCTGCTTTCTTTTTATTCTTTCACGTTCCCAGTGGAACATAGCGAGGGCTTCAAGCTAGAGGCTTGAAGTTTCTGTAGCAGTGGTGATTATTTTTACAGGATTGGGTTGCTAGCCGCCTCATGCCCAACCTTCCCTCTTTACCAGCTTTATTACTGTTTTGGTGAGGTAAAGGGGTGCGTCTGTGGCCGGGGATCGAACCCTGGACCATGTGCATGGTTGGCGAGCGTCCTAACCGTTGTGCCACCGATGCACTCTCTGCTTTTAGAAATGTGTTAAATTCCTTTATTGGTCTTATAAATCTAGTTTATGTGTTGTTTAATGTGTAATTTAGCACAAATAGTGTATACACATATTACCAATATTTCATTTTTATGTTGAATTCTCTAATATTTAATATAAATATATGTATATGTGTGTGTCTGTATTTATTTCGGTCTACAGCGGTTAGAACGTGTCAAAGCCTTAAAAGCAAAAGAAAAGAATCTTGCAGAAAAACGTATGAATTTACCTGTGCCAGCACCTTTAACAGAGAAAAAATCTGACGCATCTCTTGAAGACGATTATTTGTAAGTGTTGTATAATCATTTTGCTTTACTCTTTTTTCCCCCTCATCACTACTAAGTCTCTAATCATTGTGAATCTTAATATCCCGAGTAATTCAATCACACAGTCTATGCTTCTCTCTCTCTCCCTCTGCGTGTGACTGACTCAAACAAGCTGTCAAAAATTTCGTGGACTGATTCCAGGTCCTGGTTTGACGACTGCTAACTCTTTTGTAATGCAACCCTATGTCAGCTAACATTGCTCATCGAGGAATTCGGTGGCTTGGAATGCGTAACATGTGCCGTAACCCCATTTCAATCGATGTAGCTTCACAACCCTGCTCACCTAATACTCTGTATCTAACCTCAGTATTACCCACTATATTGTACCATTTAACACGGCAGAAAGAACGCAGATATGCGTTGTTAGAGACAGATAGACTCTCCATATTTCCTACTTTTAATGTCGATGTCTTACAGCCATAAAAGAGAACAGAGCCAACTAGTACTCAGTACACACGTCCTTCGATCGATGGTCGGTTATCACGGATATCACACCAGAGATGACACAGGTCGACAAATACCACACGAGTCTTTCGTCAGCGATCAATCAGCTTGTTGAGGCCAGTGGAGCTCCTGCCACGCTTAGCTACTTCCCTCCCATTCTCCAATCTACGAGTCGGTTCACACCCGTCCTGAAGCACTATCCTGCTGCATTTGATAGGGGTGAAGTACATGCCGAATATTGCTCACCATATTATATCATTGGAAATAGATTCTACTATGCTTCTAGAGGTGTAATATCATTCCACTTACATTATACATGCAACGTTCTGTTGTGTGAGCATTAGGATTCATGAAAAAACATAAATACCAACATTTTGATGAAGAATCACGCACTGTTGGCAGTAATTACACTAGAAATCCTCGCTCCATTTTAACAGCTAGCGACATCGTTTCCAAAAAGTCGTACATCGTTTAGCCTTATTCTTTATGAATACCTTGAACCATTGGACTACAGGTGTGGGAATTTCCTCACTGGAGTCATGTGCTTTTCTCACTAACTTATGATTTCTTATTGCCTACAAGTTTACAATGGCTTTCACTTTCTGCTTATTTTCTAGATGGCCATGTTACTATCAGGCATATATTATTGGGCGTACAGAATTAACTGGTCACCGGTATCTTCCAGAAGACCTTATTACTCCAAGTGCAGCAGAAACTGCAGAATGGCGACGACGTGTTACAAAACACCATCGTGGACGTGGAAATAATCGTCGTCGTAGTGGTAGTCAAAATTACTCTTCTCGATCTTCGTCGTCGTCTGTTTCCTCTTCATCACGAAGCTCTTCGCGTAGCTCTAATGCATCTTCAAATATTTCATCTTTGGCCTCTGTCGCTTTATCATGGAAAGAAACTTGTGCAAAAGCTATGAAACCATTCTTAAGATCACCTAATCGTCGGCGTAGATATGACAGTCGACATTCATCTGATAGTAATTCGCGTTCTTCTGATTCTGACTCAGGATCTGCTCGGTCTCATTCCGCTTATCATACAGCCGCCAGTGGTGCCAGATATGGAGCTGCTGCTGCTGGTCGCAATCGTAATTATTGGGGAGCTGGAAAGCATCGTGGTCGAAATATTGAGTCTGGTAGATCATCGGCTTCAAGATCGGATTCTAATTCATCGGTTGGATTTCGAGGTAGAACAGGTAATCAAATTTGGTATGAAGGTTAGTTGTGACCTTTTCACATACCTTCTTTGAAATATTAGTGTATATATTATGCGTTAAACTATTCTGTGTATTGAAGAGTGTTTTAGGGCATGTTTGTGATGAACACTGTATGTAGATAGATGGATGGACCGACTGCGCGTCGTAGAATACCGCGTTTCTCTTTTGTCCAGCATTAGACTAGCATATGCTATCACACGTGTTTGTCCGTCAGAGGTTGTCTGTGAAAGGACGGCTCCTATTGCGTGCGCACTGGCGTCAGTATCCAGAATAAACGGACCGCTATCAGCCGATGTGTCTGGAAACGATAGAACACGGGGAGGAGTTAGACATATTTTAGGCGTATCAAAGGCTACCTGGCACTCACTTGTCACAACGAATTGTCGTCCTTTTTCTGTCAAGCGATAAAGACGGGCTGCTATACTGCCGAAATTCTGGACGAAACGCCGGTAGTAAGAGGCAAGCCCCATGAAACTGCGTATGTCAGCTGTCGATTTAGGGGTCGGCCAATTGACAACTGCTTGGGTTTTGCTGCTATCTGTATGCACTCCTTGTGGAGTAATCTCATGTCCGAGGAAAATAACAGATTTCTGCAGGAATTTGCATTTTGAGGCTTGTAGCTTAAGATGACTCCTACGTAAGCGTTGAAATACGACTCAAAGGTTGGCATAGTGTTATTCGAGAGACTGGCCGAACACAATAATATCGTCTAAGTAGATGAGGCACTGTTTGGGGACTAGCCCTGCAAGTACTGTTTGCATGAGCCGTTGAAACGTAGCAGGGGCGTTAGACAAACCAAATGGCATGGTTTCGAATTCGTACAACCCCGTAGGCACAACAAACGCAGTTTTTGGGCGGTCTTCCGGGCGAATTTCAACTTGCCAATAGCCGGAAGCTAGATCTAATGTGGAAAACCACTGTGCCCCACCCAAAGCATCTAAGGTGGCGCCTATGAGAGGCAAGGGAAAAGAATCCCGTTCTGTGATTGCATTCAAGCGACGATATTCGACACAGAGACGGAGGGAGCCATCTTTCTTTTTCACGAGAACAATTGGAGATGCCCACGGTGATGTAGACGGTTTAATCATCCTCTTTCTTAACATGTCTGTTATCATGGTGTCCAACTGCTGTTGATAGTGAATGGGTACCCGTCGCGGTGGCATCCTAATGGGCAAGTTATCGCCCGTCTTGATCTCGTGTTATACGATATTTTTTTTTAATTTTATTTTTTTATTTTATTTTGACTACAGCTTGATGCCACACCGTAGTTTCAGTACAGGTATGGCATTTTCAGCATGGATATCGGTAGCCCAAATTTACAGGCCGACCATAGATATCAGGTGTGCGTCGGCAGGGGATCGAACCCCGGACCATGTGCATGGTCGGCGAGAGTCCTAACCACTGTGCCACCGACGCACCATTACGTGTCCATCGTCGAACACATCACTGTACTCCTGTAGTAGGGCCAGAGTGTCGGCACGTTCTTTTGGACTGAGGTGAGGGTTATCATGCATATTCACCATAGTCATCTGGGGCAAAGCACAGGCATTAGCATACTGATTGTGGTTGACTGGCTGAACAAATGCAAGGTTATGTGTGCCCAGCCGGATTCGAAAACGTCTTAAGTCATTGACAGCGTTTTGCCCCGTTAGGAAGTCGACGCCCAGTATGGCGTCCCATCGTATAACATTGCAAATGACGAACGACTGGGGACAAGTAAAACCTTGAAACGTCACGGAGAGGGTGGCAGTGTCCGTTACCTTGATAGGGACCTGATTAGCAGTAATTAGCTGTAGCTGGTTGGGAAGAGGTTTAGGTTTGACCCCGAGTCTTCGAACCAATTCCATGCGAACGACAGAGGACGATACCCCGGTGTCAACCAGAAAGGTTACGTCTACGCCTTGCAGTTTACCCTCAAGGAGGAGGGGAGATTTTTAGCATTTATCAAATAAAGACACATTATAAGGCAGCTCACCTTGTGGTTTCTTATTGTGACCACATCTCCATGCGTGGCGCCCAAACCGGCGACAGTAATAACGTTTACTGGGGTCGTTGCGCTCTTTGGGAGGAACTGTAGGTTGGTTGGACGATGGAGCATTAGGCCAGCGAACGAGGCTCGCAGCGGCTACAGTGGGTTTTGTTGACAATGGGCACATAGAGGTGCTGGGTGTGGACACGTGGTCATTCTCAGCGTCCATGAAACGGAGAATAATCTTCTGTAACTTGGATGTGTTGGCTGGGAGCTGACGTCAAAGGTTTGTGCGCACGTCACCAGGCATCATTCCCTCAAAGAAGCGGGTGCATACTAATTGGTCTCTGCTGCCGAGGCTATCGTGATTATCAAGTCCAGCTGTCAGTAGCTTGAGGGCGTGAAGATATTCCAGGAAACTCTCCTGGTAGTTGTCGGCGGGAGAGCAGTTGGAATAGGGTATGTTGAGAGCCCAGCCTCAGGTCAAAACATTGATCTAGAATCTCCCAGTTCGTTTGCATGGAGTTGGTACTACGGAACCCAGCAGCGTCTGCACGGGCGAATGCGTCCTCGGATAGGTTGTTGAGAACGTGGGTGAAATGGTGGGCTGCTGGAGTAACGTCAAGGAACGCCTGCATTCGTATCTTCCAGTGTGGATAATCTGATGATAGTTGCAGCAGTGGTGGGTGGGGAAGCGGCAATACACTAGGCAATGATGAAGTACTATTCTGTGGGAACAATTTAGGAGGCTGGTCCTCGAGTCGATTTGCCATGTTAAGTTTTTTATCTACAATTAACAAATCGACCCGAGGACGATCCTCTCAAATTGTTCCCACAGAATAGTGCTTCATCATTGCCTAGTGTATTGCCGCTTCCCCACCCACCACTGCTGCAACTATCATCAGATTATCCACACTGGAAGATACGAATGCAGGCGTTCCTTGACGTTACTCCAGCAGCCCACCATTTCACCCACGTTCTCAACAACCTATCCGAGGACGCATTCGCCCGTGCAGACGCTGCTGGGTTCCGTAGTACCAACTCCATGCAAACGAACTGGGAGATTCTAGATCAATGTTTTGACCTGAGGCTGGGCTCTCAACATACCCTATTCCAACTGCTCTCCCGCCGACAACTACCAGGAGAGTTTCCTGGAATATCTTCACGCCCTCAAGCTACTGACAGCTGGACTTGATAATCACGATAGCCTCGGCAGCAGAGACCAATTAGTATGCACCCGCTTCTTTGAGGGAATGATGCCTGGTGACGTGCGCACAAACCTTTGACGTCAGCTCCCAGCCAACACATCCAAGTTACAGAAGATTATTCTCCGTTTCATGGACGCTGAGAATGACCACGTGTCCACACCCAGCACCTCTATGTGCCCATTGTCAACAAAACCCACTGCAGCCGCTGCGAGCCTCGTTCGCTGGCCTAATGCTCCATCGTCCAACCAACCTACAGTTCCTCCCAAAGAGCGCAACGACCCCAGTAAACGTTATTACTGTCGCCGGTTTGGGCGCCACGCATGGAGATGTGGTCACAATAAGAAACCACAAGGTGAGCTGCCTTATAATGTGTCTTTATTTGATAAATGCTAAAAATCTCCCCTCCTCCTTGAGGGTAAACTGCAAGGCGTAGACGTAACCTTTCTGGTTGACACCGGGGTATCGTCCTCTGTCGTTCGCATGGAATTGGTTCGAAGACTCGGGGTCAAACCTAAACCTCTTCCCAACCAGCTACAGCTAATTACTGCTAATCAGGTCCCTATCAAGGTAACGGACACTGCCACCCTCTCCGTGACGTTTCAAGGTTTTACTTGTCCCCAGTCGTTCGTCATTTGCAATGTTATACGATGGGACGCCATACTGGGCGTCGACTTCCTAACGGGGCAAAACGCTGTCAATGACTTAAGACGTTTTCGAATCCGGCTGGGCACACATAACCTTGCATTTGTTCAGCCAGTCAACCACAATCAGTATGCTAATGCCTGTGCTTTGCCCCAGATGACTATGGTGAATATGCATGATAACCCTCACCTCAGTCCAAAAGAACGTGCCGACACTCTGGCCCTACTACAGGAGTACAGTGATGTGTTCGACGATGGACACGTAATGGTGCGTCGGTGGCACAGTGGTTAGGACTCTCGCCGACCATGCACATGGTCCGGGGTTCGATCCCCTGCCGACGCACACCTGATATCTATGGTCGGCCTGTAAATTTGGGCTACCGATATCCATGCTGAAAATGCCATACCTGTACTGAAACTACGGTGTGGCATCAAGCTGTAGTCAAAATAAAATAAAAAAATAAAATTAAAAAAAAATATCGTATAACACGAGATCAAGACGGGCGATAACTTGCCCATTAGGATGCCACCGCGACGGGTACCCATTCACTATCAACAGCAGTTGGACACCATGATAACAGACATGTTAAGAAAGAGGATGATTAAACCGTCTACATCACCGTGGGCATCTCCAATTGTTCTCGTGAAAAAGAAAGATGGCTCCCTCCGTCTCTGTGTCGAATATCGTCGCTTGAATGCAATCACAGAACGGGATTCTTTTCCCTTGCCTCTCATAGGCGCCACCTTAGATGCTTTGGGTGGGGCACAGTGGTTTTCCACATTAGATCTAGCTTCCGGCTATTGGCAAGTTGAAATTCGCCCGGAAGACCGCCCAAAAACTGCGTTTGTTGTGCCTACGGGGTTGTACGAATTCGAAACCATGCCATTTGGTTTGTCTAACGCCCCTGCTACGTTTCAACGGCTCATGCAAACAGTACTTGCAGGGCTAGTCCCCAAACAGTGCCTCATCTACTTAGACGATATCATTGTGTTCGGCCAGTCTCTCGAATAACACTATGCCAACCTTTGAGTCGTATTTCAACGCTTACGTAGGAGTCATCTTAAGCTACAAGCCTCAAAATGCAAATTCCTGCAGAAATCTGTTATTTTCCTCGGACATGAGATTACTCCACAAGGAGTGCATACAGATAGCAGCAAAACCCAAGCAGTTGTCAATTGGCCGACCCCTAAATCGACAGCTGACATACGCAGTTTCATGGGGCTTGCCTCTTACTACCGCAGGCGGACAGAATTCAAGAATTCACCAATACACGCAGGAGTGAATACATGCCCTTATTTGCCCGGTAGTTGTGAACTTTCAATATATCGATCAAAGTCCTAGAGAGGAGGTCAACTGTGAGCGCGAAACAACTCAATGGTGGTGTCTCCGACTTCAACATTGAGTGGCACGCTTTTTAATCTCCGGGGAAAGGTGAGCATCTCAAATCCTTCTAGTTTATAGACACGCGCCTTGGTGACGGCTAGCCAGCCATCAATCAATAAAACTGGATGTACAACGTACAACCAACTGCCTCAAGTCGCCTAATATCAATTCGAAGCATACTGTGATCGCGAGTCACCGAGCTTTGTTGTCCGTGTTGCGAACATGTCTGTTAGGATTCAGTTAGCACAAATATACAAGGGGCTAAAACCCTAACATTGGTTGCTCTCCCTAGTGATGAATCAGTGTAGATGGAGTGAATATTCAAAAGTGTTTGGGTATTTGACGGGAAGTTGTGTACAGTCAAACTGTGTCAGAAGAATTTCAAAAGTCGTTTTCCCATACTTGAAGTTATATAGGGTAAAAAAATGGCTTAATTAAAAGAGTATAGTAGACGCTGGCCGACATTATAAAGGTTTCATACACCTGGTAGTCCCCATCGATTATTAGTTGGAAGAAAACGAAAACACTCATTGATTAATAAACAAAGAATATTCTTTTCGATAAATTCGTCATTGGGTTCTCAATTTATATGTCCATGATAGTCAACGAATTACTATTACTATTATTATTATTATTATTATGATTATTATTATTAACAACATCAATGCTGTTTTGAATCGCACTGTGTCAGCACTGTCGATAGATTACATTTAAAAAACATTAGTAAGGAATAATATACATTAATGTAACAGTAGGCTCAAAATATCAGATAAAAATAAGGGAATTAACACAGGATTTGAAAAAAACGACCTTGACGCACTTTTCCATTATTTCGCTACGTTTGCTTAGTTACAACAAGTTAGTAGAAGAAGCATCAAAGGTAGGACTTCCTTCAGGTGAACATAGAGAAAACAGAGGTGATGAAGATTCCTGGCCAACAGCGACAGCAACAACAACAGGCAACCACCAGCATAAATGGGAGAAATCTGAAAGAAACAACCTCCTTTACCTGTCTGTCTGTCTGGATCCAACATGGAACTTGGCACCGAAGTGCAGCAGTTCAAGTTGCCACGTTCCAAATAGCACACAAAGGTAGACAAGAAGATGAGTGAAGAGAATTAATATAGTTTTGACAAGTATAAGAGTGAAACAGAATGAGTAATGGTAGAAAGGAATATGAAGGATTGCAGAGACTGAATACATCTGCGTAAGCCATTGACAACGATTTTGAGCCATGTCACCTATTGTCTCCAGCCATTGGTTCTTAGAGTCCCGAGGCTCCTTTACCTATCTACCTGGGAAGCATCGTTTTAACTAAGGACGGACGGAACTGATTAGGATGTGAAAGCGAGGATCGGGAAAGCAAGGCAACCTTTCATTACTGTCGAGTCTGTGTGGAAGTCAACACCACTCAGCATGAAAATGAAAATAAGATCCGGATTTTCAACTCCAATTTGAAGTCATTGTTACTATACTTATGAGAAACTTGACTCTGCGCCGCATCACGAAGGCCACTTCGAACAAACTACACACCTTCATCAACATCTGTCTTCGCTCAATACTAGTCAAGATCAGATGGCCGGCCAGAAAAGATCAGCAACAGGGAGGGATCTCTGAGAATGAACCAACCCAACAGGAACTGATTGTGCAACAAATATTAATATAAGTATAAAACTTGGGCACTGTGGTAGAGTATAATTCCATAATGGATAAGATTTTATTTTGATAAATCACACAGTGTAGTACAGTTATATTAACTGATGACGTTTCGAGCACAAACTATTGCCACTCATAATCATATCAAGGCACTACTCACACAACTTCTTTCCTTCATTGATATACATGTGTGGAATCGACTAGATATTGGAATAAAATTCAATATGAGATAATGTACATTCAGAAATAATAGTATGAGTGTTATTAATCCATTGCAATTAGATGGGAAATACGATGAGTGTTTTTATAGTCATAATAAGTTGATTGTTAGAATGTTTTGATGTGTTTGAATGGAAATATAATTTTAAGATTATTTATTATCCTCTTCTGATTTGACTGGTGGCAATAAAACGAGTGTTATTAATCCATTGCAATTAGATGGGAAATACGACGATGGATTAATGACACTCGTATTATTGCCACCAGTCAAATCAGAAGAGGATAATAAATAATCTTAAAATTATATTTCCATTCAAACACATCAAAACGTTCTAACAATCAACTTATTATGACTATAAAAACACTCATCGTATTTCCCATCTAATTGCAATGGATTAATAACACTCATACTATTATTTCTGAATGTACATTATCTCATATTGAATTTTATTCCAATATCTAGTCGATTCCACACATGTATATCAATGAAGGAAAGAAGTTGTGTGAGTAGTGCCTTGATATGATTATGAGTGGCAATAGTTTGTGCTCGAAACGTCATCAGTTAATATAACTGTACTACACTGTGTGATTTATCAAAATAAAATCTTATCCATTATGGAAGTGCAACAAATATGCAAGAAGAAATGGAGGTGGATTGGCCATACTCTGAGAAAACGAACCATCAAGTGACATCACATGCCAGACCATCTCTCAAGTGAAATCCGAATGGGAGGATGACATAGAGGAGGTCATGTGAAGAGGAGATGAAAGCATGTGGGTGGCAGACGTGGAGCCATGTGAAAACGTTATCAGAGAACCGAACACAATGGAAACGTGTCGCTGAAGCCCTATGTTCCTCTAGGAACTAAAGGAAACAATAATATAGCGCAGAATATAAGGATGTTTAGGCTCGACAACAGGCAGGAGTAGCAGTAGAACCTGACTGGATCTGTTTCTTTTGCATTCAGAGTTTCAGTTAATATAAGCGAATTGTAATGGTCTCTACTGTTTGGAGTGTTCGGTATCAAGAGGCCTTTAGTAATTTATTCGCTACCCCAGGATGGATGATGGAGAAAGACTCTTCAACGCTAGCCAGCTTTGTGACTTGTTTAGGCGAGGTGATCTATTATAGAAATACTGTTGAATGGCCTTTAATAATACCTTTACTTAGCCACACTGGTAGGTGTTTCCATCCACAAAAAAATTAAGTTCCTCGAACAACGACCAAAGGATTCATCTCCCTGTGCCGAGTTAGAAGTTATCATAAATGCAACTCCAAGTGCATAGTAGTAGAAACAAGAGAAAAAACGTCCAAACTGAAACCTGTAACAGTTGAAAAGGGTTTATTATTATTTATTATTATTATTCCATTGGGCTCTGAGTTGAACACATGGCTTCAAAAGCACATCTTCATTTTATCCTGTCCTCTGCAGTCCTGTTTCACTGACTCCACGATTGTTCGTAGAGGCTGTCATCTCCTCTTCACATGATCTCCTACATGTCACTCTTGGACCCTTGCCTAACTCGTCGTCACCCATTCGGTTTCCACTCAGGGGGTATGCCTAGCACGTGAGGTCACCCAACAGTCTCTTCAGCTTATCTCAGCATATTTGTTGGGCAATAGGCTTCTTGATTGGTTCGTTCCTAAAGTTCCTTGTTGCTAATTCTTCCTGGCCATCTGACATTGGTTGGAGAACCATTGGAAAACCTGGGAGTACTGAACAGCTGTTTCGTCCTAGTTCGGGACTCACCAGTAGCCCAGTACTCCAGCGCTGATTTTCCAATGATTCACTAACTGATGTCAACTCATAATGAAATCCTGTAACCAATCAATCAAATCCCTACAAACCAATACTTGAAAATTAGTTTTTGTTTGCCTGGCGTACAATAGGAGTGAAACACTAGCAAGAATCGGAAAAAATAATCAAAGGTTCATTTGAAAGAAAGTCTCCCCCCCCTCTAGATTGATTCCTCTTTATAATACGAAGTACTCATTTAATACATTCCAAAGTGGATATAAGTATTTTGGTGATGTCTACTCTGATTGTATTTACCAGTTGACATTCATTTACGTTAGCAAGTACATATGAAGGATTGAGCGAAGAGTATCTATTAAATTTGCTCAGTATATATCCTTAACAGTCTTTATATGAAAAGTAAGGAAGTCTTCCCAAGTGCAAACGCTAGGCACCAGATAAACATTGGCATTCAGTTGAAATCAGTTAAGCCTTCAAAATAATCGATATACAGACGAATCCTTGGCTCCTTTGCATTGTAGAAGCCGTTACTACCAAATGATTTCATCCTGATCTGTGTATGTAGAAAGGTAGTGTGATCAATCTTTCAGCTATACTCAGTATTAATATTTCAATTTACTTAGTTGTTTGTATACGTAATAATTTACGTGGTTTTCCCGTACTATTCCTTTTCACTCCTACTCTGTCCTCCCTCGAACTTTCCATCACATTGTATATAAAAAAACTAGTTATTGTTGGGATAATCTCGTTGACTTAAAATATATATGCAGATGATATAATCCTTCTAGGTGAGTACGCAGAAAAACAATCGTTCTTGAGTAGCAACATTCGAATATTAGGCATGCGATTTGCTCCCCTTGTCAAATATAAGATAATGAGATGCTAGACTGGACGACGTCTACTCCTAGCTTAAAATAGGGTTTGAAGTGGTTTAGCGTGTTTACCCCTTCATTTATTTGGGAAGTTTCATCAGCCCAAGCTGAAGTGACCGCTGACGAAATCTCAGCATGTATACAGAAGGCTCGTTTAGTATATGCCAACTTACTCCATCTCTGGCTTAGTAGACCTAATATCAGACTGCGTCGACCGAAGGACGTGTGTACTGCTTAGCAGTTCTCTCCGTCCCTCTTTATGACTGTAAATGAGACATATGACCATTAAAAGTGGAAGACATGAAAAGCCTGGCTAGCTATCTTTGATCATAGGTGCCTGCGTTCTATCTCCAGTGTGAAGTGGCATAATAGGCTGAGTTACATTGAGATGAGGCATCTGTCAAGGGCTAAGTAAGGAGGGGAGATCAATCGACAAGGTTTCGAAGTCACATCGATTGAGATGGTTAGGAAATGTGTTACGTAGGGATGCACCTAGCCATCGATCGCCTTCCTCGACAATGGGCAGTGTTAGCTGACATAGTCGTCACACACACAATGCCTGTGGCTGATTACCACCAAGTGCGTGGAGTTAAAAATGATTATTAAGTAATATTCATTCCATTTTTACCATTCACTTCAACTTTATCTGTGTAACGTTTTCTCGACTGCTTTCTTTTCTCTGCTCACTTAATTTTTTTAATCATTATTTTTACTAGGAGGACGATTTGGTCGTCAAACAAATCTACGTGCTGGTCGAAGATCAAAGTCGCCTGGTTCACCACCTCGGTAAATTGCGAAAGATTTTTGTTTTCTAAATTATTTTCTTTTACTATTTGTTTTGGTTCCTGTTGCTACACTACCTTATGGATTAGACTACAGGTTAGAGGTTCAGCGAGTAACCGTTTAGGACAGCCACCTGCTTCCCGTTTGGGCGTCCGAGCAGTAAGGAGAAATATAAGTGGAGAACGGATAAAGAACTTTATCTGGAAGGAAAACAGTCATATCGAAAAAGTTCAAACAGTATTCGTCAGCTATCATCGGGAAGGGAAGAAAGAAGCGAATTGCAACACGTTCGCCATTGATTACGATTCTTGGCCATATCCGATAACGTTTCGGGCCATCGATTCGAGCTATCTCGCGGACCCCAACCAGGTAGTCGTGATGCAACAACCGATGCTAATCTAGCACAAATATCCTTCATCCAACGACGTCACGTCATGGACTGACCACCTCTCCACTTTTTCCATCCCGTCCAAGGGTTAGCGAACAGAGACCTGAACGGAAGCCTCTGGGATGATATTCGCAGTACATGTCCAAGCCGTCGAAGCCGGTGTTTCCAGATGACGACACTTAATGAATGTTGACCTCCACTGTGCTCGAACACGCCGCCGAACTTCAGAATTACTCACGCGATGATGCCATCGAACGCAAGCAATCCTGTGGAGACAGCGATGATTGAACACATAGAGCTACCTCACATCCTCAGCTCGGAGAGGCCAGGTTTCACAGGCCTAGAGCAAGACAGCCCGCACCGAAGCATTGTATACCCAACCTTTGACAGCCAGGCTAACGTCGCGACGGCGCCAGAGGTGGCACAAGTTGATGTATGCCACCCTAGCCTTCGTTATACAGTTGGAAATCTCATCCGTCAGCACTCACACAACTACCCAGATACACAAACTTATCGACAACCTCAAGCAGTTCACCCGCAAGAGTGAGTGCAGGTGCAGGCTCCTGCCAATCTTGTAACAGTACTTTGCACTTAGACGGTGCAAAGCACATACCATACTTACAGGCGCTGATCGCCAACTGATTAAGTGCGATTTAGGCAACCTGCATGCTATCGCACAGTAAGACGATATCGTCTGCACACTCGAGGTCGAAAAGTCTCTCTCTAGGGTGCAGATCTACACCACCTTCACGCACATCCTTCAGAGCTGACTCCAAAATGTCATCGATGACAGTTAGAGAGAAACAGAGAGATTGAGCAACCCTGTCTAACTCCACTGTTGGTTGGGAACAGTGGTGATAGTTGGTTGAATGCCCTCACTTTACCTTAGATGTTTCTGTATAGGACTTTCAAGATTTTTACAAACTTCTCAGGTACACCCCTCTCTAACAGACAGTTCCAGAGTACAGTTCTGTCCAACGAATCGAAGGCAGCCCTAATATCAAGAAACACAACGATCGTTGGCCTGCAATACGTTTGGTGAACACATGATCAATGCATCCGCAACCTGAACGAAACCCAGCCTGCTCTTCACGAATCAATCCCTCACGTATTTTGCACAACCTAAGAAGCAAGACAGCAGCCAATATTTTAGACGCAACTGGTAGCAGACCGATACCTCTATGATTGTCACATGAAGTACGTCAACGCTTTATAAAGATGGGGATGATAATGGTTTCGTTCCACATTGATGGTACACTCTAAGTCTCCCATACCTTCCTGAAAAATCCACTTAGAGCCATTACGAGAGTTTCGCCATCATCTTTAAAAAGAGCCCAATGAGATTATTCCATTTCTCTACAATGTAAAGTAGGTTCAGATACGTGGAATAAACACTCCTACCTCTGCAACCAGCCATTGACTTAAACTGTTGATTTGAAATTCGGTCGCTTACCGCCAATCCACATCTACAATACTCCTTATACATCTTGTCAGTAGTAGCACATGCCACACCCCATAATGCTACCAAGTTTTGTATTCTAAGGAATAATTATTTGATTCGTATATATTATTTTACCATACAATCTGTGTGGATAGATGTATATTTTACACCATTATTGTTTGCCTCCTATTCTTCTAGCCGTCGTACTGATATTCCACCTCTACCTAGTGAACGACCGGTTAAAAGACCATGGGTTGCAGCACCATCACTAGCTGCAGTACAGAATTTATCTAAGGGTAAGTTTTTATATTGATTAGTAATAATATTATTATTTTAAGTTTGACCGCAGATTGATTGATCCTGGCTAGTAGTGACTGGTTACAGGACGAAATTACCTGGAGTCCTAGTGAGAAATCGTGACCAGTAGGGTCCCCACCCGATCGGGAATGTGGGGATAACATTGGCCGGTGCCAGTCACGCTAAAATCACCAATTGGTAGAAGACAGAATTCATGGGCTGGTCATTCAGAGGAGGGGTTCAGTGGCTGAATAGTCTACGAGATTTTGTTGTAACCGGAAAGTTCTGGGTTCGAACCCTGACGGTAGATATGTACTTCCAATGAGGGGGGACGAATCAGCCGTTCAGTACTCCTTCCTGGTTTTCGATGGTTCTCTAACTAATATCAATCAATCCGTCGTCCAAATTGAAATTTCACTCCAACCAGTTCGCTCAATTAGCTAGCTAGTAGTCGGCTGATTTAAACGTTGATTTAGCTTTCTGACCTGATTCGAACTGGGTAAATACATTGCTGATAAGTTTAGCCTCTAAAAGCCATGCGGTGTCCGGATGACTTTTCTTTGGCTGGGAAGCATCACTTCCCACTTGATGTGAATGATATCTGATTACTCTTATCACGCAGTCTATCAGAAGCATAATCTCGCAGACTCAGAATATGCAGATTATATAATCCTCCCAGCTACATGAAGACTCTAACAGAATGCAGAGTCTTCTGAACGCTTTGAGCTGCAATCTGCGAATGTTTGGCATGCGATTCGCTCCCCTTTTCAAATGTAAGATGATGCTACAGGACTTGACTGCAGTAAATTGACTCCTAGCTCAGAAATAGGGAGTGAAATGGTAGAGCACGTTGACAGCTTCACTTATTTAGGAAGTTGCATCAGCCAACGCCAACCGGTTGATCACTGACGAAATCTCAGTACGGATACACAAGGCTAGTTTCGCAAATGCCAGTTTACGCCCTCTCCGGCTTAGTAGACGTGGTATCCTGCTGTCCACCAAAAAATGTGTGCACTGCTCAGCCGTCCGCTCCGTCCTCCTTTATTGCTGTGAGACCTGGCCATTGAGAGCGGAAGTCATGAAAAGATTAGCTGTCTTTGATCATAGGTGCCTGCGTTCTATCTCCCGTGTGAAGTGGTATAATAGAGTGAGTAATGTTAAGATGTGGCATCTTTGAAGGGCTAGGTAAGAAGAGGAAATCAATCGTTGAGGCTGTGAAGTTACATCGACTGAGATGGTTAGGAAATGTGTTACGTAGGCATGCCTAGCTTAGCCATTGCCTTCCTCGACCGGCAATGTTAGCTAATAAGGGGTCAGGCTAGAAAAGAGCTAGTGGTGGTCAAACCAAAACATGGCTTCATCAGTCAATGAAATCCACAACAGTTATTTTTAACCACGTGGAAAGATGTAGACTTCCTGACTAGTTGGAGTCCTCAGGGCGGTAACGACCAATAACTCCTGGAGACAATCGGTGATATAGCTGAAAACTGTTCTCAATGGCTAACGCAGATGCATCCACTCCTTGTGACTTATAATTTCCAATGAAACTATATTGTTTTTCGATATTACTATTCTTTTTGCCTCATATCCCGGTTTGCTGTCTCTATTTTGCATTCTTTTTACTTTCTTCTCTTGCTTTGTGTGCTACGTGAAGGGAGTGTGGCGACTTGAACTTGTGCACATCGGTGCAAAGTTCTGTGTTGAAAACAGTCAGACAGACAGTACAAAGCATCAAGCATAGATACAATATGTCATGGTCAATAGTGTAAATTATGATTTCAGCGCGCCAAGAAATTGACAGTTGAACTTAGTTGAGTGAAACAAAACCGTGAATCTATGAAGAATTTTAACTGACAAAGGTTGAATAAACTTAATAATATCAACTGATTTTCATGTGCTCCGAAATCATATAAATTTTTCCTGATCTTACTAATGAGAGAGAGGATGGTTAAAAGCCAGGCCATAAATTAGCAAAATATCTGTGAAGCTTTTTAGATCATTTTGATCTGATAGACGAGATCGCCAATATTTCATTGCTATGAGTGCTTTTCACCTACTCACATCGATTAACAATGTATATATCTGATTTTTCTGGTGTTCGATATATGCATACACACGTTGACACCATGTATTGTCGAATAGCTAATAGGACAGATATTGATTTTGGTTAACCCTTTGATTTCCAGTTGTGAAGCCATTGTTGAAAAGCATTCACCTGGACATTGTGTATGATCTACCTCATAGAGGAAGGTTGACTAAATAAAATGAATGTTACTAGGCAACTGTTGAATACCCCCTTGTCGATTGAGAATATTTGATTAGATTTGCTATTCTAATTGTATTATTATTTGTAATTTCATTCAAGGCGACGGACGTGAAAAATTGCGGTCGCGATCATCTTCTGGTTCTCGTAGTCCTTTTGGTAAAGATATTGAATCGAAACAATTCATCACGTGAGTTTCTCCTTTTGGTTAAAAACTATATGAGGTATCGCATGCACTTTTCCGTGCTCTTTTATTTTGCCTCTTCAGCTTAACCTGGCTGGTTGTAGTGTAGCGTCGTTTCAACTGCTGCAAGCTGTGGTGGTATTGAAATTTAAGAAGATAAAGATTTGCGAAAAGAATGTTTATTTAGAAATTGGTATCTCCATGTAGCTAAATTATGTAAACCTTATCTTCAATGCATCATTTGCACAGATCTTCGTGTTGTGGTACTTCTGGACTTCATATTGTGTTTCTTTGTGTTCCTTTCACTTCTCCAATGTATCTCCACAACGCTGTAGCATTTGTCTTCTCTGAAATCAAATGTATCTCCCTGCTATTTAATGTTGTTTTATGCCGGTGAAAGTTTCTTTATATACTACTGATAAATCTTACCAGTAACACTCGCCACAAGATGACTCACTAGAAAGGATAAGCAGCAACAAAGAATTCTGGCGATAAATCAACTAACAACCCATCTATTGGCCAAGAAATATGCAAAGGAAATTGAAGGTGGATTGGACATACTCTGAGAAAACCATTGAGTGGAATCTTGTTGTTACTAGTAGTGGCATTACCCTCTATTTCGAGCAACTCAGCCACCAGATTTTCGAGGACATTCGACATATAGACTAGAGCACCAGTGTAGTTTTCTATGTAAAAGATACGACAGACACAAACAACTGGGAACTGAATACCAGCGCGAGATTTTTCACCTTTACCACGACCACTTATGACTGGGATACTGTTGTTGTATAGAAAGAGTTATCAAGTGCTGGAGCTGTAAGTGTATTTTGAGAAAAGTGATTTTCCCTGCACGGAGTGTAACTGTAGTCTTCTAATCGTGGCCATCTACCACCTTGACACACATACACACATTTCTATGTGTGAGTGTGGCTGTTTCTTCTCAGTTTAGTATTCTTCAGCACCGGGGTTTGAATCCAAGATCTTCAGGTTACTTGGCGAGCTCGTTGACCATTCAGGTGCTGGGATGGGATCTAATCGCCGGATTTTGTTTCGCAACCGGAAGGTCATAAGTTCAATCCCTTTTGAGTGCGTGCCGCTGAAGAGATTCAAAGTCGGACGTAATAACTGTCCAGTATATACTTCCTGTGGCTTTTCACTGGTTCTCACTACTGTATGTTTTTTTACCAGTTGCTTGATTGACGGTAATTGTTCCCGCTTTTTGTTTTTAATTAAACAGATCATGGTCACGCAGCCCATCTTCAGGCGGTGAAGCTCGTCGTGAAGTTTTACCTGATGTTGTTCCTGCTCCACGTATACGTGGTAAACGAATAGGTGAGTACATAATTGATCATGTTAAATGACTATTTATTTTTCTAAAGTCTTTTTCAAGGAATTTCAGTCAGTTGTTTCACTGTATAGTTACAAATTTATCACTGTATACAAAATCGAACCTAGAGTTGTTTATTTTAACAGATTATCAGTTTGTTTCCGCCCAGTTAAATGCGAATAAATTGACAGTGGTGTCGGTGAAAATGTTGGGAGTTCTTTAGCTTCTCAAAGCAGATAATTGAGACATTGGAGTAAGCAGGACAATTTAAACAGCATTTCAGTTAACTGATATCAACTGACTGACTGACTGACTGAGCTTCAACAAAGAATTTAGTGCAGAAGTTCAGCAGTTCAACGTGCCACACTCCAAAACTGTACACAAAAGGTAGACAAAAGAGGAGGAAAGAAGCGATTCAGAGAATTATAATACGCAGAAATGTGAGCGAAAAAGATGGCAATTTAGTAGATTTAAGATAATTGATGAAAACAAAGCACGTAGCTTAGCGAAGAGTCTTTCACAGAAAATTCATTTTCTTAGCTGTACCAATCACAAATACATACAATAGGTTATTTTGTATGCATATGCACATTAAGTTTGACAAACAAAAATACAATTGATTAGGGTTATTTTAACTGAAGCGGGGGTTGGTGGGCGCGCTGAGAATTAGCAAGTTTTGGATGAAGTTACTTAATACAAAAACGGTCAAGACAATTGGGTGATAATGAAACTACGGTAGTAACAAAGGTGATGAGTTGTCATAACCAGTTGTTGAAAGAAGTTATGTAATAATATGAATAGTTTGACGATTAAGTTGTACTCAGGCTGTACATAGAAACAAAGTAGAGGATATGAAATTACGTAAGAGTTCTAAATGAATACAAGAATTATAAACAATTAAAGAAACGGGTAAACAAACAAAATAAGGTCATCAAAAATCAACAAAGTTGTTACCGTGATAGTAGAAATGGTTGAGTAATTCTCTTTTGTATGCACAGCTCCAGTTTTTCTGTGTGAATGGTCAGAGCTTCAGCGGTACAAAGAAGATGAAACCATATTGCCTTTGGTAGATTATTCTTGACTCTATAGATTACTTTGAAGCAGGAGGCGTTTGTTGAGATGGAATGACCAATGTTAACCAGGTGTTCAATTATCGCACTCCTTATTGCACCACTATTACCTTTTCGAAACCATGCTGGATAGTGTTCTTGAATCCTCTTGGACAACGTGAGCGTCGAACGACCGATGTACCAGGTGAACTGGTATATGCACATACTAGTGGTTAGATGTGGGATCTTGTCCTTAAGGCTTCTGCAGATCAGCGGGCGACTGGAAAACACTATTCTTAGCGTTGTTGCAAAGAACTTTCTTTTCATAGATGATGCAATCTTTCTCTTGAGAATATCACTTTTTAAATCTCCCTTGAAATTCAGCGGATATTCTAATCCGTTTTGTATTAAATAACTCCACCCAAAACTTACTAATTCCCATACACACCACCCCGCTTTACTTAAAATAACCATAACCAATTGTATTTTGTTTGACAAGCTTACTGTACACATGCATACAAAATAACCTATTGTATGTATCTGCGATTGTACAGCTAAGAAAATGAATTCTCTGTAAAAGAGATTCTTCGCTGAACTACGTGTTTTATTTTCAGTAATGCCTGGGTTTAGGAGATCGCAATGAATGAATGCAATTGGACTATTGACAACGATTGTCACCCACATCACCAATAGTCTCCAACCATTAGTTCTTCGCATCCTTGAGGACCCAAACTGGGCAGCTTATACTTCCTTACATGGCTCACACTATCTGTCAAAGACTCCATAGACTGGTATTAAGTTTCGGTTTGTACTCTCCCACCTCCCCTAACTCTTTTCAAACCTAATCGTATGTCGGCTAACATTGTTTATCAAGAAAGTTGATGTCTCAGCATGTATAACACGCGTTATAGTCATCTTATTCAATACAGCTTTACAATCTTATCGATTTCAATTATCCTGCAATTGTTCTAAAGTTGCACGTCATCCAACTTCAGTGTGGATGGGACGTAGACATCAATTTTTGCAATGTGGGTGAGTAGACTTGTTAAGTAGGTTGCCTGTCGTTAATTGCACATGAGGATAAGGTAGAATAATGTGATGCGTTTATTTCAAAGGTGATTATAAGGTTAGAAATGTGAGATTGTTAATTAGAAGAACTGAATTACTGTGCAGCATATGGAAAGCCAAAATTGTAGATTGTTACTCATCCCTATTTTGGAAAAGAAATTGACTAACTCACTCTCATTTTCAAAGGCCATTTCTCATAACTATCATGATAGCGAACTGCTGTGCTGTGTATTACATACGTCTCCTGATCGATAGAGGCCCGGCTATCATTACAGAGATAACGCAAGTTAGCAAATGCCACACGAGCCATTTGTATCCTAGCTTCGATTTCGTCAGCAATCAATCCATTTTGGGACTGATTCAACTTCTCAAATGATTAACACACACTCGACTACTGCACTACCTGCGCTTAAATTGGAAGTCGGAAGTGCAGACTCCAGCCCTGCTGAGTGGGACGAATCACATACCAAAAATTATAAGATTTCATGAATAATCCCCCTTCAGAAAAATAATGAAAAGAACTAAGTGCGTGGTAGTTCAACACAGAGTTCGAAAGAAATACAAGAGTCATAAAGAGTTGAACAAACAAACGAAGTTAATGATATAAGTATAAAACTTGGGCACTGTGGTAGAGCATAACTCCATTGTGGATAAGATTTTATTTTGATACATCAGACAGTGTTGTACAGTAATATTAACTGATGACAATTCGAGCACAAACTATTGCCACTCATAATCATATCAAGTCACTACTCTCACAACTTCCTTGCATCATTTATATACATAAGTGGAATTGATGTTTAGATATTGGAATAAAGATCAATATAAGATAATGTACATTCAGAAATAATAATATGTGTTATTAACCAAATACAATCAGATAAGAAATAAGACGAGTGTTTTTATAGTCATAATAAGTTATTTCTTAAAATGTTGTGATGTGTTTGAATTGAAATAGAATTTTAAGATTATTTATTATCCTCTTCTGATTTGACTGGTGGTAATAATACGAGTGTTATTGATCTATTACAATTAGATGGGAAATAAAATAAAACACTCGTTTTTATTTCCCATCCAATTGTAATTGATCAGTAACACTCATATTATTATTTCTGAATGTACATTATCTCATATTGAATTTTATTTTCAATATATGATCAGTTCCACACATGTATATAAATGAAGGAAAAAAAGTTGTGTGAGTAACTTGATATGATTATGAGCAACAGTTTATGCTCGAAACGTCATAATAATAATAATCACTTTATTCCACAACAATAACAATTTACAGCATGGAATTTTCAGCGTTTCATTTTACATATTGCATTGGTTTAGCTCTTTTTATAATTATATAAATGTATGTAATGTTAAAAATATTGATAATTAATAGGAAAAAATAAAAACCCCAACAAAATCACACCATTTCTAGGTCATAGTGAAATAATAAATAAATAATATAACAAATCACACATGCAATAATATGCATCATTACATTTTATAGTTTAGTTAATGATTTAAAAGTTGTAAAAGTTCATTTCTGATATTTGTCTCTTCACACAATACTCGTGCCAAATATGGTTAATATTACTGTACAACACTGTGTGATGTATCAAAATAAAATCTTATCCATAATGGAGAAACAGAGTTAAGTTGGTAGAGAACAATAGGGTCGTTACCATGATAGTGAAAATGGTTGAATAGTTTTCTTTCATATGTAGAGCTCCAGTTTTTCTGTTTGAATGGCTAGAGCTTTAGTAATACAAAGGAGACAAAGGCGTATTTTCTTTGGAAGATTGTTCTTCACTTAGTAGGTCACTCTGAAGGAGGCGTTTGTTTAGACAGAATAACCAGTGTGCTGACAAGGTGTTCAATTATTGAACTCCTTATGTAACGAAAGAAGACAACGGCCAGGCAACAGATCGTTTATTGAGAAAATCAACAGATATTTATAGATTTTTGTGTGCATTATTATTTGCGTCATTGTTAGCAGAGAAGCAACGTCTTCTGATTGGTTGTTTTCCTGCTGAAGGTTATTCTATCATCTCTTTGTGATCGTTTCTTAGAAAGTTAAGCCATATTTCTGCGAATCGTATTTGCACACATTAAGTCTTCTGTGATTGGTTGTTGAGTTCCTCAAGGTTAAGCTTTGTTCTTGTTTTTTCTCCTGACCCCGATTCGGGACGTAGACATTGACGTAATTTGCTGTCTACAAGTTTGGATTGCAGCTAGCTCTCACTACACTTATACAACCACTGTTGCCCTGCTGCAACCATAAGGGATAGTGTCCTTGATGCTTTTAGACAGGATACGCGTCGAGTGATCAATTTACCTGGCTGCTCCACACGAACCGGTGATTTGATATATGTACATCGAGGTGGTCAGTCGCAAGACCTTGTTCCTTCAGACTTCTGTAGACTATGATTTATTTTGTGGTCAAATCGTCTTCAGTATTTCATGGTAGTGTAATAAATTGCGTAGAGCATAATAGGTCTCTGTGTTAATCGATAGTGAACAATCCGTCTGTCTAGAGGTGTTCCCCTTCGACGTCTGTCATTATTCACAACAGTGTTTTTTAATACATCATCTCTGAACACTGCTGTAAAAATTCTATATTGAAGTGTTTTGTTGGTGTTGTTTACTAAGTTATCCCTTTTTTTCTATTCATCATAGCATCACCATTACGTAGAAAGAAAAGTCGCAGTCCATTTGCAGATGATGCAATTGGCCTATCAGCTGTTACCAATAGTGCTAATATTACTATTACTACTACTACTAATAATAATAATCATTGGCCACCTGTTTCAAACGATCGAGATTCGCATACTGTAGAACATATTGAACCAGAATTATATCCTAAGACAGCAATTACTACTAATACTGGTGTAAATGAGATGACCTCTATTCAACAGACTGGAATGACGACTGGAGGTGGTGCGGGTGAACTTCCATCAAATCGACCAGGTGTTCGTTTAACTTTAGCACCACGTATGAAGGTAAATATTTATAAATATACTTTTTTTCTTTCTACTTTCGGTGGTTCAATGGTAGGATGTTGCCTGTCAATTACTTGCGTAATCCAGGGGTCTGATTCCCGGCTGACGCACTATTTCTGAATCTTGCTTAGCCCGGAAATAGGGCAGGTCGGATATGAAGAGCTGGCAATCTTCCCCTACCCCAGTAAGAAATTCACATCATCGCCACTGTGTTCAAACGTGTTTTTTTTCTGATGAAACCGCCAGGGTATCCATTTTCTCACTGTCTGGTTTCCGATTTAACCTGAGAGGATTCTTTGCAGAGATTTAAGGGCCTGTGGCTTTAGTGCACATTGAAGATCCACAGGTGTTAGCAATAATACTGACAAATATCCTGCAGCGTGTGTTAATCAACCTTTTAAGCGAAGATTCACATGTTAATCTGCTAGTAGCTTCCCAAATTATGGAATGCCTGCCATACTTCCCATTAGCTGCAGTTAGTGAATATGCTACTCCATCTATGGAATACGAACGAACTGGTTAGTGAACCTGACAGTCACCACTACCAGTGACAGATCAAAGATTCTTGCAGAAGGCGTTACCAATATACAACATACAGATTCTTATCAGTAGAGTAACACACATCACACTAGTACTTCTTTAAGATTGTATTGAGCTAGGTGCATTCCGATTTTTGAATTGTATTCATCTGCATTATTTCTTTGAAAGTTTTTTTTCTCAAGTATACACCCATGTGTGTTTTTCTTTCGTGTGATAATGACTGTAATAAACTTTCCACTTCATAATGTGAATTTTCAGCCAGCACCTGTGGGTATCAGTTCACTGGCGAGTGCAGCACCTAATCGCTCCACTACAAATCGTCCACCTCCTCAACAGCCGTCATCCCCACCACGACAGGTTCGACACCTTGGTGTTCCTGTATTACACCGACATACTTCACCTATTGATCCTAATCATCCGCCTGCAGTTGGTACTACTAATAATATTACAATGCCATTGACACAATCACAAGTTCGTTTACAAGCAGAAGCTGCAGCTGCAGCATTAGAAATCCGTGAAAGACGAAGAGCAGCAGCTGAAGCAGCCAACAAACACCGACGATCACGTCGACATAAACGAACTGATTTAAAGAATATCCCCGTGCTTGGCCGACCAACTTACAGACGACAGTCATTCTCTGCCTCCTCTGGAGCATCTGGTAGCTCTAATTTATCACATTCTTCTAGATCACCATCTGGAGGTCGTTCGCATTCTGAATCAGGTAAACCTATTGGAGTTCGGCATGGTTCTCCTCCAATGGGTCGTCAAATTCCATCTAGACAAGATCAAGAAGTTCGTTCAAATGTTGCTCGTAAGCGTACACGTCAAGAAGCAGCTCAACGTCAAAGTCTTAAAGAAATTGATGAAAATGCAACACGTCGACATACAGGTCGCTCGGCTGGAGCAGTAGTGAATAGTGTTGATTCTCGTGAACCTATGGACTATGGTCGTCATATAAAACAATCAGATTTCAATGAGCGTACTGCTCATAGAATGCGTGGAATAGATCAATTCGGTCATGACACAACACAGTCGCTTAAACGGCCATATCCTTCTGGTTAGTTTCTTTCTTAAAATTAATCTTGTATTATTGTTATTATTATTTCTTTTGGGTCCCTAGTGTACCACGGGGTTGCAGCAGCACCTCTCTATATTTTACCCTGTTCTCTGAAGATGCCTTTATGTTGACTCCATAATTTGGCAATAAGCTTTCTTTTTTCTTCCTCACACCATCTTTACCATATCACCCCCACCCTGAGGTCTCATCTGACGTCTTCTCTAAGTCTGTCGAATCCATCTCTATTTTCTTCGATAAATTTGCTAGGCAATTGATTCTTGGTTGGTTCGTTCCCGGAGTGTTGTTTGTTTGATGTCCATTATCTGTCGAAGGCGTGGCTGTTGATAAAAGTCTCCAGTAGCTGCTTATTGGAAATTCCTTTGGAGACACACGCGAAAAGTCTTTGAACCAGTAATAGAAGTCTTCACTGACTTGACACTAGTGTTGAAGATCCTGGATGCAGTTGTTCCTTACATTCCCCCATTAAATCGGAACTTCCAAAATAGCAAAAGTACTAGCTGTATTATCGGTAGCCATACCAAAAAACAAGTCGATTTGTCTTTGCTTTAGCGAATTGAATACATTTGTTTTGTCATTATCATCAGTTCTGTGAGTACACTCACAGAACATGTAAAAGATTATCAATTAATTATATGATTCCATGAGAGGAGGAGAAATGTTAGTAATGGAGAGTTGCCATCTGAAGTGATAAATAACAGTTGTGTTCATCAGGGACGCCCACTGTAACCAAGAGGGTCCTGGGTTCGAATCCCGATGGATGCGTAATGCTGAGGAGTCCCAAACTAGGCGGACGAAACAGCTCTCCAGTACTCCCAGTTGATTTTCCAATGGTTCTCTGACCGATGTCAGTTAATGATGAAATCCTGTAACCAGTGAAATCTATGCAAACCAACGCTGAAATGTCCCCATTTTTGCCTGATTACATCATAGATGGAATAATTAAGGTGATTGTAACCAACTTAGAGATTGACGTGTTACCAGGGTACTGTCTTGTCATGAAGAGACTAACTGTTCTTGATGGTATACTATGGACAGTAATATTAAGGTTAGACACAGAGTGCTAGGTGATGAGGGTGAGTCAGTCGACGAGGTGGTGAAGCTAGGACATGTGTTACAACCGCCTTCGTCGTCCAGCAACGATGTGTGAGCTAACCTTTGTGTGCTATTTGGAACGTGGCAACTCGAACTGCTGCACTTTGGTGCCAAGTTCTATGTTGAATCCAGCAGCAGCAGCAGATTGATAAAGGCCATCTAGAGTGATATAGACTCACTGGTCGGCGTCATAGAGGCGTTAAGCAGCAATGGTTTGAGATTGTAGATTATATGGGTCGAAACCGTTCTCAGCGGTGCGCAGATGCATTCACTCTATGTAATGTCTCAAATTCATTAAATCGTCATGATTCTCTATGTACTTATCCTTTCGTCTGTACATTCATGCCCATTATAGTTGTTTCAAAATTTTATTTCTACCTTTGTATGCTACACTTTTTAGAAATTCATTCACGTCCAGAGTGGAACATATATGGCTTCAAGCTTGAGTTTTGAAGTTCCAGCAGCAGTGAGTTTTTGACGGCGGCGGCGGGGGGGGGGTTGCTAGCCTCACGCCCTACCTTCTCTCTTTGTCGGGCTTACAACCTGCTAGAAGAGGTAAATGTGTGCACCGGCCGGGAATCGAACCCTGAACCACAGACGCACTTGTATGCTGCATAAAGTGTGGCAACTTGGAGCGGCGCACTTCTGTTCAAAGTTTCTGTGTTGAGAACTCAATGAGTATTGAAATGCCATCTGTTACTTCGTCACTTAACTGAGCATCATTACAATCATAGTAAATACACACCTGCCTTAAGTGACTTGATAAAAATTAGGATCAAAAAGAAGTAGTAAACATCTCGTAAAATATTCTTAAGCCCTTGTAACTCCTTATTTATCAATCCTTTTTTCCCCCAGGTTATGATGAACCACCGGTACGTGAACGCTTAGAAAGAGATCCACGCATATCTGGTACCCGTTATCCAAATGCCCTTATCGATGAACCACATAGTAGAAATACTAACGCTGAAACACGTCGTGTTGCTGCTGGTGGTGGTCAAACAAAAGAGAGAATTGTTCGACCAAGAACACCGCATGGTTTAGAAATGATTGATTTCAATCGACGTTCACCGCATGGAGATATTGACCTATTGCCGAAAATTCTTCGTCTTGATCGTGAACAATATCGTCGAGTGAATTATGATATACCAGATATTAGTGCTGTTGAAAAATCAACTATCGATATTGGTGGAGATATGATGATAGACAATACTGATGATAATTTCGCTGCTAAACGTGCACGTAGTCGTCATCGTAGTAGAGGACCTGGTGGAACTATTGACAGATCAGAACCATTTGAATCGGATACTGGAAGTTTTGCTGCAGAACAACGTTTAAGAAAACTACGTGAACGTTTAAATCTTGTAGATGATGCTATAGCTGAAATTAAAGCTGGCACTGGAGCTGGTGTACAATCAAATTTTACTTTCAATGATATTCGTAGATAATGATGATGATAGTGATATAAAATGCTCTATCTCAATGAGATCAATTGAGATCACTATGTACATTGTTGCTGTCGTCTCTTTCCTTTTGTGCACAAAACTACACCCTCTCCTTTAATTTTAAAATACACACACACAACTCTTATACTCTCTTGCTTTTCTTACTGATGAATTCTCTGTATTATTTTTTCTCTCTCTCTCCTCTGAGTTGTATCATAATTTCAAAGGGAAAATGAAATTGCATCTGCTTTTTTTTACATTTTCCCTATTTTTCTCTTATTAAAAAATACTTGCTTTTCTATGGTTGTTTTATTTTATTTTTTAACTGAGTAGTGTTCACATACACACATATGCGCACACACACAGACAGATGGCCGCGTTGTTTACATGTTTAACGGTGGTGGCAATTTTATGTCTCCCTCCGTCAAATCAATAAATCTCTGTAAAGTTCATTTTGTTGATTAAATTCACATTATGCGAATTGTTGATGGATACCCTACTCCTACGACCAATTTACGTTCTAATAGATAGATAGTCACTGTGAAATGAAACATCTTTGTCTTGATTCTGTCATTATTGTTTTTTTGTTGTTGTCTTTGCAGGAATTAATTGATCTGTGATGTACAATATGCATACACTAACCATCTTTGATCACAGATGTGTGTTTGTGTTCTGCCTTTCGTGTTTTTTTCCCTTCACGTTCCCTGGTGGAACATAGGGCTTGAAGTTTCTGTAGCAGTGTTTATTTTTATAGGATGGGGTTGCTAGTCTCATGCCCAACCTTTCCTCTTTACCAGCTTTTATTTCTGGTTTAGCAAGGTTAAGGACTTCGTCAGCCGGAGATCAAACCCCGGACTATATACATGGTCGGCGAGCGTCCTAACCGCTATGCCACCGACGCTCGGAGCTACATCGATTGAAATGATTAGGATATGTATTGTTTTTATTGTTCTAAACGTCGCATCTCAAGCCATTGCATTCCTCAGTGGTCAACGTTAGCCGTCATTAGGATAAGTTGTTGAAAAAAAGGGGATTAGGAATAATGGTCAAATCAAAATCTGTCATCAGTTCATGAAATCTTTGAATGTAGGTTTGAGCTAGCCATGTAGGGAGTTGTAGACTACGTAATTAGGGTTATCAGGATGCTAAGATCCAGTAGCGTCGGTGGCATAGCGGTTAGGACGCTTGCCGACCATGCACATGGTCCGGGGTTCGAGCCCCGGCCGACGCACTCCTTTACCTCGCTAAGCCAGAAATAATGTTGGTGAAGAGGAAAGGTTGGCCATGAGGCTAGCAACCCCATCCTGTAAAATAAACACTGCTACAGAAACTTCAAGCCACTAGCTTGAAGCCCTATGTTCCACTGGGGAACGTAAAGGATAAAAAAGAAGATCCAGTAGCTCGCTCAAGACCATTGGTGAAATAGCTCAATGGTCCCATGTTACTATTCTTTCCTCTTCACATTTATGTTTATTGTGCTTCTTTTGAATCTCTGTTGTTTACCTTTGTTGCGGTACATAGAATGTGGCATATTTGACGACTGGTGCGCTTCTGTGCAGGGTTCTTTGCTGAAATTCAGTCATACATACAAAATGCATTTGTGTACGTTCCCACTAACTTACTTATAATTCGATAAAATTGAAACCATCCTGATGATAAGTGTACACTATAACGAAGTAATCTGACTTAAAACTGTCCTAATAATTATTCCATCATAATTTTTGATTTCTGTGCCGATTTAGATTTCATCAGGCTTTTGCCATTAAAAGGATTTAACGTTGTGTGTAGTCGTCAATATAAGACCTTCCAAAAAGAATATATGTCCCCTATCTATCCATGATTTTGGAATAAAATCACGCTAGAGACGAAGGTGAAATAGCGGTAATAGATTATGTTGTATTAAGACGACAATGACAAAATGTCCGAAAAATCACTGTCAGATAGTATACTTTTATTTTATTTATCACATCAAGTTATGAACCTGTGAAACTCTTTGAAGTAACCAATTATTTTTCTAATACTCTCTATTGCTGCAGTCACACCAAGCTTATACCTCATTAATATTACCGATTTCAAGCAATACGTTACTGATCTACTATCCATTATTATTCAGGCTAGCGATTGATAGAAATAAGTGATATTAGCTGTTATTGAGGCAAATCAAACAATTTAGTGCAACAAAAATAAGTTATGTGGTGAGGAAAGATGGTCCAGAGTGTATGATCGGTAGTAATAGCTATTTCAGCCGTAAGTCAACCGTACTGTAGCGGGGATATGTCGAACATACCTCAAAATATGGTGTTTTAAAGGGAAAATAATAATAATTTTGATTGTTCACTAACCAGTTTCATGTGTGTAGTTTTATGTTTACTGCAGACTGAATTCTACCAGTCAAGTTCGCAATGTGGCCATCATGCTGACGACTGCCAACAAGCATGAAGCCTAGATCCAAGGCTTCCAGCCGACTACCTCCAACCACCTATTAATAACAACCCTGAGTGTACCGTGATGGCTAGCCATCTAGAATGATGACCACATCGCAAACTTGACTGATAGAATTCAGTCTGGAGTAAACAAAGGAACCGGACACATGAGACTGGTTAGTGTGTCCAGTCAAAAGTATCTCATACAGTCCTATAGGAGGTCAATCGCAAGTCCGAATAGCTCAGTGGTAACGTCTTTGACTGTAGCACTGGATGACACGGGTTTTTTTAGTTTCAGAAGAGACATGACTTCCTTCGAATTGTAGATCCGCCTTGCTGACTAGTGAGTGCCAATAATGATGAAACCTAGGTCCAACGCTTCCTGCCAATTGCCTCCAGCCATCTAATGACAAAATTTATAATCCCCCAGTAATCGATTCGCGATACACATAGTTCAAGGAGGTGAAATTTCACCAGTTTCTTTTGGAAACCAAAATTATTCAGATGAGTAGCTGCGTACGACCACTATTATCAACCAGTAGTGATTTAGAATGTTAATAGTTCGCCTGAATAGTTAAGCAGAAATCGAGAGGTAGGAACTGATCCAATTGTCTGAGCCGAGTTAGACCAGGTACACCACTGATGAATTCGGCCCCAAAACAGCGAAAAGGCTGTCCAGTGTTTAGATCACCTTGGTCTGGCTGGCAAGTACTACTGTAACGACAGAAGACAAGGGCCAGACAACAGATCGTTTATTGAGAAAATCAACAGATATAGATTTTTATGTACATTAGTATTCGGTATTCTTAGCAGAGAAGCAACGTCTTCTGATCGGTTATTTTCCTGCTGAAGGTCATTCTGTCATCTCTTTGTTGCCGTTTCTTAGACATTCCGCTGATATATCTGCGAATCGTATCGCCCACGCTAAGTCTTCTGTGATTGGTCGTTAGGCTATGTTACTGTTTCTTCTCATGTCCCCGATTTGGGATGTAAACATTGACGCCAACTGTTGTCTACAATTTCGCCTTGCAGACAGCTCTCACCACACTACTACTGGTTGGTGTGAATGTTATACAACTCACCTCAACCAGTAGTAAACAATTTTAAGCGGTCCCCAATGTTATCAGTTAAGGTGAAGTCAGAGTTTGGCGGATTACATTAACTACTGGTTGTTCCAGTCATCAAGAAAGCATAAAGTTCATCTATAACAAATAGGCAGAAATCAGCCTAACCAAAAATTTCATTATTTTCAGATTCAATAATAATACAGAGCATAAATGAAGTCTCTGAACAAGGTTATCAGTCATGTTTCATACGTGGGAATAGTTGTAAAGACCAAATATTTACCCTTCACCAGATTCTGAAAAGGTAGCTGTCTCTTGATTGAAAGGCAGGCCTAACGACAATGCTTCATTGTAAACGTCCTGCAAGTACATTTATTTACTGGGACACGTGTTGCCTGGGTAAAGCCTCTGTTAGTAATATTTAAGTCAAGTCTAGACTGAATCAATTAAAATTTCCAATTGGTCATACGAAAAACAGCTGAGTTGTGATACCAACCAACCAATACTTGAAAATTGTTTTTCAGGAAGGAAACAAGATTAAGTAGTTATTACCAAGAATTTTGGAAAGATTTAAGCTCACAGATGAACAATTTCACGTCGTTATAGTTCTCTAACATGTACAAACTGAAGTTAATTATGTGTCTGATTTTAAGAATTTATCAGTCACATACTGTTTCAATCTGAGACAGCTCTCAAAGATATTAGAACCTCTTGGAAAGATAATGTCAAACACTTGCTGAAAGACGCCAAAATTATGAAATATAACAAGTGAGACACATGTTTGCAACGATCACGGACTCATTAGATGTCACACTCACAAAAGATCCTCCAATATGGCTAAAATGGACAGAACTGACGACGACATATCACGCACTTCGGGACAAAACACAAATGAAAAGCAAAATGTAGGTGTCGTTGAAACACCATATATAAAAACCGTTCCAAAAGAAGAGTTATACACATAAGACAGCTAGGCGATCACTGTCCAGCGGTCATCGGTTTTCGAACTAACGCTTGTGTCAGAATTCGAACCCCTACAGGCTGTCGAGTAAAACGTAGACCAATTAAATAATCGACTCATAGGCACGCGTTTTTCTTTCCGCCCATGATGAGATAATGGACAATTCATGCAATGTGTCATATCAGTTAAGACCTTGACGTTAGAAAGAACTCCATTTACGTCATTTATGTATAAGTGAGGCTTTCGATAATCACAGGGAAAATGCTGGTCAGCACACTGAGGCGTTTCACGAAGTTCTTTTATTACCATGGCATTCAAGGAGATTATTCGGTCAAGTTTCGTAATTGACCAACTTTTTATGTATGGGATTCAGCATCTTTTGTTAACAAATGACATTAACCTTCGAAAACCATTAACATTTTCCATGGTCTTTAATATGTAGTGTTTAATGAAACAATTTTGAGGAAAAATTACGAAATCAGTTTTCCTGACATATAACTTCATTTTAGGAAGAACTATATTATCTGCGAAGATCTATCTGTTTAAGTACATTAGTGTTTATTGCACGTCAAAGAGTCTTAAGTATCTGTCAAAAGCTTCACATAAACTGGGTGTATCACAATGATTCAACTCTCGGTCCTGAGGACTACATACATTTTCTTATATTAAGAAACACTTGAGGTCTAAAATAAAATCTAGCAGGCATTTTTGTAATTCGCAATAACAGCAGGTATATTTTCAACTATACAATCACAATTACAAGTTAAAATTCCTTGCGAGCTCATCTAGGTCTGTTTTGAATTTAGAAGTTCACGCAAAGCCTCTTTAGACTCATTTAATCCATTTGAAACTGTATCTCTAGTCTTCTAAGGAGGTATAAATACTGAATATTTTATTACCTTCGTGGTTTCAATATTTTCCGTGATTCGGGTCCTTTCCTTCTTTATGTCTTCAATTATATCCCCCATCGGCTTTTTAACAAACCTTGCCATACAAAGCCAATTAAAATTACTAAAATTACATTTTTCCGCAAGCTTTGTATGTAGTTACATCTTCAGGTAATCTAACTAGTTCACTTTCAATTATTTCAGATCGTTTAAATTTGATGTTAAGAGACTCTATTTGGGCATTTAGCAAGCTAATGTGTTGGTTAGCAGCAACAGTTTTTTGTCTGTGTGCTTCAATAGCCTTTCATGGGGATAAGGTGGAAATCACACGTACCTTTTTGACATCAGGATCCGACATCACCTTAGGAATGACCTACAAACGAAAGACCCACACTTTCTGTAGGTCAGCTGAAATATCCAATATCCTTACGAGAAGAATCAAGAAAGTTACTCCTGTATATTTGTCATAGTGTATTCGCGCGAACTTTTTCTACCAGCCTGTGCTTTTATGAAGGGTAGTAATCTGAAAAACCGTGGTTTTTTTCACAGATTTCTCCGTTTTTCAAATCAGTTAAATTCCTATGGGGAAGTCATTAGTCCTTTGCTATTTGAAAGTAATACTGTATGTTCATCATATATGCCATGATTATTAGATACAACAATGATAGGTGAGTGAAAATTGCCATACTATTCAGCATTTCTTGTCTGGCTCGTAAAATGAAGTCATCTATAGGTGGAACTAGATAATATGACGTTTAAGACACTACAGTGACCACCCACTCACCTCTACGGTCCTTGTAAAGTTCGGCGACTGCTTGAATAACTCGGGGTCAACATATCTGCTTGCAGCCTTAAGTGGATCAAGTTCGCGTCTCCACAAGAAAATTAATGCTTAAGGGAAAACAGGTTAGTTACGCCAATGAATGGCTACCACAATACTGAGAATAATACTGAATGCAGTCTTACTTTTGCCTTGACACACCACAATGTATGACTGATCACTTGAAAATAATATCCATATTGATAATGACATTGAGGAATTCGAGTCTGATGCCTTTATGGATGACAAAACATTAACGTATTTGCCATTTGCAGTACTACAGAATTTCAGGCAAATGATTTGCAGAAATAACTGAACCTAGGAATTCTGATAGCCACACAACCTTTTCCATTTTTTAATTCACAGTAGGGGCAGGCTGATATCAGAGAGGTCTGGCTGGACATGAATTTGCCACGGTGTACCGAGTCGCACCTGTGCTCGTATAGAATACCACTTCTTAGGTTCTTTCCCTTAATCTGATTCATGCTCTCCTTTAGTTTATCTGGATATCTGGATGACTCTTTTGGACTCAGATTACCACTTGTACTTGCTTGAATTCATAGGTGACTTGACTCGTCAGCCAAAGCTGTTCGGCAGTGTACAGACGGATGTTAGTCAGATCGCATTTTCACTAGAGAACGCAAAGTCACCATTGTTTACGCTGTAAACTAAAACGCTGATAAGTTTTAGGATAGCTACACAATTGTTCTCTGCGTCTATGGCGAAAAATGAAAGAAATCACATTGTCTAGAGAAAGTAAAGTTTGTTCTATGAACTTTATCAAGTTTACATAGAAAAAATCTGCGACATCCAACATTTTTGTGGATGAATTTAGTAAACATACTTAGGCTCGAGAATCATGTATTTTTATTGCTTATTGTTATTTAGACTGGTAAACGTGCTACTTAATTAATGTGGTGACTTCCTGCGCATTGGCGTGAGAATAAGTAACTTCTAGAACGCCAGCACGACATGACTAATCAAGTTGACATATATTCTATAAAAAGTAGCGGTCCGTTGAAAATAATGGTTAGGCTGCTAATGAGGCTAAACGATAGCACTGCCCCTTCGAAGTGCTGTGTACATTTTTGTCAGTTTTTCATAGTTATTAAGCTTTAATAACGAACCGATACACAGAAACTACAGAATAAATCCCCTGATAAAGCTCTTCTTGTTCCGATGGAATGAGTACTGCAATGTACGCAGCTAACTGACAGCAACGTTTCCAGGTTATTTCCACGGTTATCATTTCAAATATTACGCGAAAGTGACCAATCATGAGCTATGATCAGGGCAACTGATCTCATTGACAGGAGGCTAAAATAGCAGCTACAGACAGGTCTTCAGTAAATATAATCTGAAAATGCAGAACTGTGGTGTTGGCAGGGGCGATGTTGACAAGAAATGTACAAATATTCATTGAGTTACAGAATCGATACCCAGATAAATGAACACATAGATTGCTTTGAAAACCTGGTTCATAGTAAGGCAGGGAGATTAGATTTATGAGACCGTATTCAAATAAAGAGGTGAAATAATTGCAAGAACACTAAACAGGACACCTCTTTTCAAAATATTGTGAGGACAATTGTCAGTTTTCCACAGGGCCGTTGGCATTCACGAGAGCGCAGGTGGTGGGGCCGAAGTCCAAGCTACATAGCGATCATGAGCTTTGTTTCTAGTTGAAACTGTCTTGGAAATGATCATGAAATAGTTCAAGAAGTATAGATTATTGGTCTCCCGGAAGACTGGCAAAATCTTAGTGGCCGCTGACACAAACCACCTGTATATAGAATCCTGCTTGTTCTAAGCAAATCATGCTGTTTGCGTTGAAAGTTCACCTCAGTATCCCTCATGTGGAAGTTTTGGAAATGACAGAAGTTTACCCATGCAACTGATTCGCAGCCATTTCGCTTTCAACAGCCACTTTGTTCATCCGCGATGACTGGATCTGACTACAGGCAATTAGATTTTCAAGTAACAGGAGACAGGGCATGAGTTGGGATGTGACTGTGTATCTTTGTACTCTCTACATACGATAGTTATTAAATACACCCCTGAGCAGTCTTAAGGGTTTTATTCTCCCTGATTTAGTCCATCAGTATAAAGTGTGGACAAGGCTCAGGAGTAACGAGATAGATGGTCAGAAAGCAATCGTGAGAGTTACTTCTAGTAGAGGCCAACTAGAAACAGGCTCAGAGTCGTTCAGCTAACCTGACTTACAGGTTTCCCTGATAAGGAATTTTAGTGACAATACATGCGAAGATACATCTCAGCACAGATGTAATCTCTACACAGGGAGTGTCGATATTTATGAATAGATGGTGTTACACCTCAAAACTCGAGCTTAAAATTTAAAAATGTGGCTGGCTCTGCACAGGTTGCTCCAATCTAAAACTCGACTTACTAAGTCAGCTCGACAAACTTCCCGTTTATGGTTTGTGCTAGACGTAGGACTGAAATAGTCACATGACTTACCATTTTCAGAACATATATCCAAACAAGTATCGAAATCACACAGGCTTACTGCCTACCTACTCAGGAACTTCCAGGGAAAAGAATCCAGAACTCAACTCTCGGAACGGAAAACGGAACCCTAGGGCTAGAAACACTGTAGCTGAGACGTCTATGACTAAACTTAGCCTTTTTCTATAAACTTCTAGACCACATACTTTTCAACCCTATTAATGGTACTTGACTTTCAGACGACAGTGGTTCTCAACTAGGAGTTAATAAAGGAAAAGTGGCTATCGGAAAATATAAGGCAGGCACCAGGCCAAAGCATTACCTGATTAGATATGCCCAAATATGGAACAAACTATCAACAGAAGTGCGACAGGCAATCACCTCGGCCTCTTTCGGAATGATACCTAGTAACACGTTAAAAGAATTCGCGAACGATGGTAGTGCAAGTTCCCATTTAACAGCTGGAGAGATTATAGGCATATCTAATGTATGAGCTTACGGAATACGACTGTTATTTATTTTGCCTCATTTTATAAATTCAAGCAAAAAGATTTGAATCAAGACGAAAGCCATCAAAGGAACAAGAAATTTCACTTGTGTAATGTTAATCCACCACCATAAGTGCAATAAACCGACGCGAAAGGAGTATACAAAAAAGAACATAAATTAGTAGTCTCACACGGAAAGATTCACATTTGCCGGACAACCTTTATGCCTCATCAAGTGCAGTCTATATTTCTGTAAAGAAAACGTTTTTTATCTTTAATGATGCAGAACTATAGATTTACACAAATTTCTTCAGAACAAGTTAAATTCTTATGCTTTCTTATGGGGTCTTTAGAGGCTAGAGATGTTGGCGTTCATGGACAGTATGATTTATCCTAACACAAGATCTCATACTCATGACGTCTACATTATTAGTTCCGAGTCAACAAAAAACAAAAGAAGACATCAGAATTGATCGTCCAAATTTTGAATTATATTTTGGGGCCAAACCGGAGTGCGAGATAACTACTTTTCTACTTAATATTCGAGAAAAAATTTGTTAAGCAAGGGATCGTGCACGAACGAATGAATATAACACGACGGCATGCCAAATGGCGTGGATGCTTGACCGTAAGCCTTCAAACAAACAAGTCGACTTAAACAGCGAGGGTTATCATCCAATATTCAGTGATGAATGCTGTGGCTTATTATTCTGGGGAATTACCTACCGCTACAGACTTAGAGAAGGTTACTACCAGTTTTTCAGCTTTTACCACTACTAATATTACTTCTGTAAGTGTTATACTAGACTTAAGGTAGATCGCAAACTAAACACACTTACAAAAACTTCACCACTTATAACGTTAGCAGTACTCTACCTAACGTTTAAGTACTGACGAACGGAATCAAAGTAAAAAGACTTGAGATGGAAGTGTGTCTGGGACGGAGTTGTATTTTTCTACACAAATGAAATATCAAATTAATTAAATAAAGGTGTTATACAACTTATCTGCTGCCTTGACTGGTGGTAGGCTCGAAGAGTGCGCTGAATGGAAGCACAACGAGAGAGCTAACCAAGTATTTACAGAAGAGTCACAAATCAAAAGATGAAGAAGTGCCAAAAGTGGGTGAGTGCATTTAAACAAAATTTCAGAGGTTCAATGTACACTACACTTCTAATACTGCTACCTGTCACACTAATATTAATGCTACCATCCATAATAAAACTGCTACTTACTACTACTATTACTTCTGGCATCTCAAGCCACTTTATAGATTTAGTATAACTGGAGTATTTTCGTAGTAATGTACATTATTGCGAACGTTCACAGACCTGTATATAATACCAACAACAAGTGAATGGACTGCCAATCATCTATTATATTCTGCGTCAAAGTCTTTCGTGGTGTTTTTTATTTTTTTGTAAATGAATATATAAATTTGCTTGGATTTAAACAATAATATATCCATACAGAATGTAAAAGTATTGACAGTTTGTTTATTCCCTACAGATAGTCGTATAAACATCCTAATGAATAGATATTTGTATGAAAAAAACTATGAGCTACTGTATAAATCACTACATTTTGATGACTCACATCAACAATAATGCCAGTCTATAACTGGACAGAGAGTAGTCATTTTAAAATGTTATATACCATTGAACATTGATTATAGATTTATTACATTCTTAG